TTTCTTCAAGAGAAAGTTTGTATGGGATGGAAGTTCGAACACATATATACTTTTTCAAACAGTTATAACTCAATGATACAAATATCCCACTAACAATATGGCTATCAGATATACTTACCATAATCATTTAACATATTATATCATACTTTACACTTGACTAAACATCATATTGGAAAAACAAATAAATATTAATAAACAATAATTAATTTTAATCAAATTTTCACAGTTGTTTGAATCACTTTGACAATGACTCAATAGACAAGTCATTAACAACTATGATACATATAACATTAGTACAATACATACAGACAGTGGATCATTTGATKAAACAATAACATTGAAGCTTATACATCATCCACTTTATGACATCCAGATTTACAACAACAACAACAGATGAAGGTCGATCTATCAACTCCTGACAATGTCATTCAACACCTCAACATAATATAWATTGTTACTCCTCTTATCAACGCGAATCGATCAAGTTATCAATCATCGTCATTGAACAACATCACACCTGACATCATGCATGCCTTTCGAATGCGYCTCGACACAACGATGATGCACCAACAATGTTCAACACATACGTWTGATACACCAACAGATTCAGTACATCTACAGGAATCGATCTATATATAATATGTGACTGTTGAACCTATTCTTACAAGTACAGCTTGCAGAGACATCTTTATCGCATTACACGCCAAGAGTCGCACTTCAACTGCCACCAACATCTCGAYAACACCTACAATTGACATACCAACAGACTCAACACATCAAGGTGAAWCGATAGATATATTGTACATCACTGCTGAAGCTATTCTTTAGCAATACATTCAACAACAGCCAGGATGCACTCACATTGTGGCATCAACTACGATCGTCGCACTCCACTGATCACCAACATCGTCCAACAAACACCTATGACACATCATCAGACTCTACCTATCAATAAGAAGCGATACATACTATATTCATTGTCGTTGGAGTAATCTTCATCAACTTTGGTCATCAACATTCAACTTCACAGGTAACAAYCAAAACCTTGGACCGATCGTCGCACTTCTTCTTCTAACAATAACTAATACCAATCAAGATTATAGTATAGAAATACTCAACATATCAAGATGAAGCAATCAATATATTWTACATCACTGTTGAGGTAATTCATAGGAATTCCAGTMATTGGACAGCAATGAAACAACGACCAATTACAGCCCGCTTGGATCGTCGCACATCAACMAAGGACAAACATCATCTAACAACTCCTATGAACTCCAACAGACTCGTCTCATCAAGATGAAGCGATATACCACATTCTTTGCTGTGTAATCTACATCAACTCGGATCACCAACATCAACAGCTATAGTGCAACAACTTGATCGATTGTCTAACACCTACTGCTGACCAACATCGTCCAACATTCAACTATTATACACCAACGAAATCATCTCACCAAGATGAAGCGATGCATAAACATTCAACGCCTTTACTTACCAAAATACTAATCCTTGGATCAAAGGCCAACAGTGGAGACCCGGCACCTATCACAACACACACGTTAATCAACAATCACATCAWATATGTAGTCACTTGGACGAGCTGGACTATCAATAAGGAGGACATCCAAGTTTTCAACTCTAWATATAGATAGTGGATATACCAATAAGGGAACAAACTACTGGTCACCTCGATCGATCTTGGACCAGCACATGCTGCCCTAGAGATTACAGTCAGCCAGTGTTGACATGGCAGCAAAGCACACCTGGCACACCTATAGTATCACGATCTAGTGATCTGGAGCGACAAATTGGTTTACAGGTACCAACCTGGCACGACATCGGTCAACTTGTTGGGCGACATTATCARTGTTGCCACACATTTCCTGCTCTCAACATCTGCAATACTCTCTCCATTCCACGGACGGGAGGAGAAGTGCCGATACACAACATCKWGACCATTCAGATTGGCGAGCTCAACCAAGACCGACAAGGACCTCAAYGGCATCTTCAKCATTCCAGCCAACCCATTTGGCTGACACCAAACATCTATAGTCTTGAGCACTAACGTGAGTATCGAGYAGCTTGGGTAWGGAATCATACCACTCTTGACACTCAATTACTCATACTAACTCGACCTTCCACTTCATCTGTAGCGAATGGTCATGTTATCAACAATGATGCCAACGCAGGCCAGCCAAACAAAGGAGGATAATTCGACTTGTACGATTTAGACAACACACAGTCAACTCTCTGATCCTTGTGTTCAAGACACTCAGCCAAAGAACAGGACGACGACATTGGACGATGACCTCACTAACAACACAAATGATGCCTTGGTCAAGACAAGGACTCTRAGAGTATCATGAGCGAAGGTGGTGACGACCARGACTTCGAACAGATGCGTCAAGACCTTGAGAAGTTGAAGATCGACCATTCAAGAATCGGCAGCAGAGCTGGTGGAAGAAGTMCGAGCAGCTCACCAACGACCTCTCGCAGGACTTTTGAGAGCAACCGACATCAAGCTACCTTGTCTGTCGACGTCGATCAACAAGCCATTCACATCAAATATACATGTATCATCACCAAGGCTATTGGAATAGCTCAATGATCCCATCCCTCGTCTAGATTACTTTAGATATTGACAAGGGCCTAATACAATTGGTCTGGTTGTACTACTACTACTACTATTGTATCTTCCATCGAGCAACCAACCAGCCAACCAACGTGTCGAGTGGTGTACCCTACCAACAGTAGTATACAATACGACTAACAGGTTGGCTCGCAGATCGATTAGTGAATCCACTACTAGTCACTGACTGACTGACAGGTTGGCTCGCGGATCGATTAGTGTATCCACTGCTGCTGCTGCTGGTTACTGATTGGTTGGCTCGATGATCCACCGCTGCGATCATTACTTGCAAGCGAGTGTGTGCTGGTGCTGCCATTTCTTTAACTCCTTCATCATTCCACATGGAACATCATTTTAAACTTGGAGTTGGCATCATGTCTTATAATAATTAATTTGAATTTGTATATTATTATTTCTAGATTCTTTCTATCACCCACCGCTCTTCAATGTCCATTCTTTATCTTGGGTCATTCATTCAACCAAAGACATTGAATCTGTGTTGAAAAATGTTTGAAAACCCCGTCAATCATTCATTTTACATCTGCCACTAATGAGAGACTATGAGTTCACTCAACTTTGTACAACTAGACGATCTCATTCTCTTCAAGATCATCGATCTGTCACTCACACATCGTGGCTACAAGTCATGTGCCATCACCAGCTATCGACGATGGCCGAAAAAACGAACAATTCAAGCATGGGCATCTCAATGCGTTGCAAAGGTCTGTTGGAAATGGTTCATTCGAGTATCGACTTTCTACATCATTCAAGTTGGACACGTCCTCAATGCAGAGCATCAATCATCTTTCAAGCATTCTACGCAACAACAATCAAGCCACGAAATTAGTCCGACACTTGACATCTCTGACTATTTACACGTCCGAGTTCACTCGATCGTTGCCAAACAAGAGATTCAATGAGCTCTACCGACTACTACAGCAATGCACAACGATCACCAGAATCAAGACGCGAACACAGGGCAGTTGCTTTCGCTATAGGTACTCTTGGTTCAACGCATCTGTCACCTCTCTCTCGATCGATCAGACGCGCATGACAACTGGAGAGGAGACCACTGTTGATGGCGATTTTTGGAACCATCCTTGCCTTCGCTCGATCAACCGGTTGCACATCCGCACCGAAGGTCAAACATACCGCTCTTACTATCCATTCTTTGAGAATGACAATATCACCTCGGTCTCGGTCGATTCACCGGCTTTCGTCGCGAGCTTGTGTGATAGGCAGGTCAGTGTCAAGCTATCTCAAATCGTCCTCTGGTGCCAATTCAACATAAATCAACTAATTTCAATACACCTTGGACATTGATATACGCTCACATTGTGGCATTAACTACGAACGTCGCGCTCCACTGATCACCAACATCGTCTAACAAACACCTATGACACATCATCAGACTCGACCCATCAAGATGAAGCGATACATACTATTTTCATTGTCTTTGGAGTTAGCTACTTTGGTCATCAACATTCATCTTCACAGGTAACAACCAAAACCTTGGACCGATCGTCGCACCTTTACTTCTGACAATAACTAATACCAATCAATATTATAGTATAGTAATACTCTACACATCAAGATGAAGCGATCAGTATATTATACATCACTGTTGAAGTGATTCATAGGAATTACAGTCTTGAACAGCCATGCCTTGACGACCATTTACAGCTCACTTGGATCGTCGCACACCAACCAATGACCAACATCATCCAACTACTCCTATGATACTCCAATAGACTCGACTCATCAAGATGAAGCGATCTATACCACTTTCATTTCTGTTCATCGTAATCTAAATCAACGTGGATCATCTTCAACACCAACATCAAGTAGAGAACACATGAGAGTTTACCCTTCAAGACTCACTCCATCCCACCTCCTCAACACCCAATTGCCACCTCCACCAACAACACCATGACTGTTATTGCGCCTGCTGACCCGACTGAAGATACTTGACTCGAGATACTACATTATATGACAAGGAAAGGACAAGCCGACTGCTCCACGGAAGGGAGAAGTGCCCAGACACACCGTCAGTGACCATTCAGATTGGCGAGCACAACCAAGCCCGACAAGGACCGTGCCTGCTATATTCCTCGTCTCCCTTGGCTTCTCAAATCAATTAACGTGGCCCGACATGTCTGGAAAGGTCTATGTGTCAACGTACTATCCACAAAGTCATCTACACAGGACTGCTCAATACAAGGTCTCTGGCTATGTCTCACACTGGTTGGCGTCCCTCCGTCATGGTTGGGCTCGTCATGGCTGCTGTCGGTCTCTGTGGCCAGAATCAGTGTCAAACTCAAGGAGCAGGACGACGACATGGACGATGACCTCAACAACAACATAAAGGATGCTTTGGACAACTCAAGCATGTAGGTGTACGTCAGCGAGCTTTGAAGTACGAGCAGCCCACCAGGACCTATGCGAGCGACTTCTTATGATCCTCATGCCCACACCCGTCACCAAGCCACAGTCGTCCGTACAGTCAGATCTGTCTGCGTCGAACCAAGCCCAACAGAGTGCAACCAAACGATATACTGCGTACGAAGAAAACAACCGTAAAATCCTTTACTCACACGACCGAGACCAAGATCACTCCGACAGCAGCAAAGTCCCATAGGGTCATCTCTCTCTGAGATTGTGGCACGCCCCACGACCCAGCATAATGGACTACGACGATCCACTTCGCCTTCCTTTATAGGAGATGAAGCAAAAGATCACATCACATACTGAACACAGGCCAATCTGGACACCATCCTCGGGGAGGACGCCCAAGCACCAAGACGATTGGTGCTCCCTTCGACCAACGTTTGGACGATGGCGATGGGGGATCTATCCTCCCCGCTGCTCTGAGGACCCTCCACATATGGGGGCCATTCAACCAACTGTTACCACCTGGTGCACTTCCATCATCATTGACCTTGCTCAACCTGAGCGACACCTTCATCCATGAACAACCTCGTTCCTGGAAAGCTGGTATGTCAACCTGGGGGCCATCGATCAGGTAGTTACAAAATACTCCACATCTTCCATCCTGGCCCCAAGTGTTTGTTCGACCAAATTCTGTTTTACAATCGGTCCGATTCACCTTGATCTCTACAAAATCGACATGCAAACACTGGACGTGGCCTCAACATTCATTGTCAACCGCCTGCCAAATCGATACACTATACTATGCATTTTAGAGATTAGAATGAATGATAATAAAACAGCATCTGGACAAATACATTAGTCAGATACCGGAACACACCTTTCTCATTGAAGAATAATGTCTATGAAATTGTCAGACCGGATTTAAATCTGTCCGAAGACAGCCTCCTGCATCGGATACCAATCTCCCCAGAACCAGGTCCACGAAAGTTTCCGATTTAATAAATATGAATGGTTTGGTAAGCTACCAACAAAAGGATAATGGATAGGTGTACATTCTCCAGTTTTCCTCAATATGGGATACTGAAGGATTATATGTGAGAGGGTGTCCTCACCTGGTATGTGTTACATCGATCCTCATCACGCACGATCTATTGGCAAGTTAGTACTTACAATCATCCAGTGACGTTAGAGAATCTGCACCTGGTGCACTCGACCAATCAATTTGAGGCGATTCCACCCCAACCAAGGCTCTCTGGCTTTTCAATAATCGACTATGAGGTTGAGCACCTCACCTTTGCCGATGACGTAGATGCGAACATCAATCAGCAATCCAATGTCAAAGTTTGTGACCACCGAGGAGTCGATATCGTTGCAGCGAAGCCAAAGGTACTTGAGCAGAGGTTGAGGACAACCCGCCTCATCAGCATATATCATATTTATTTATATATCAAGGCCAGTGAGATATTTGTATGAGAGCTTGAGATTCTTTACAGCCGCAGCAATGTCGTCGTACTGGAGAGAGCTGACGACCCACTTTGCGTATTTCTCTGCCTTTGTCTTGTCATCCTCTGAAGGTTCAAAGGTTGAACCTTGATATTGTTGGAATGGTTGTTGTGGTTGAACTCTTTGAGATTGTTGCGATTGTTGTTGTTGTTGCTGGTACTGTTGCTGTTGTTGTTGTGGAGGAGGAGTTTGCTTGGACAACGAATAGGAAGGTGGAGATTGTTGATTTGGTTGCTGTCTCTGCTGATACTGTTGCTGTTGCTGTTGCTGTTGCTGTTGCTGTTGCTGTTGCTGTTGCTGTTGCTGTTGCTGTTGCTGTTGCTGCTGTTGCTGCTGTTGTTGTTGCTGTTGCTGCTGCTGCTGTTGCTGTTGCTGTTGCTGTTGATACTGCTGCTGTTGATAGCTTTGATCATTAGAAGGGAATGATGGGAATGCAGGAGGAGAGCTATTGACATTTTGTTTGGAAGGATATGTAGGAGATGATTGGTTTGGAAATGATGGGAATGAGATATCATTTTGTTGATTGGTAGTGGCACCACTGGGAGAAGGGAAAGAAGGAAAGGTTGGTGAATCATTTGTTGGCTTTGTCTGCTGGAATGATGGGAAAGATGGAGGGGAATCATTCAGAGACCTATTTGCGCCATTCTGTGGGAACGAAGGGAATGAAGGAGGTGCACTACCTGAATTACTATCTACCTTTGGTATTGATGGGAAGCTTGGGAACTGAGGCTCGGATGAATTCGTTGAAGGGAAGGAAGGAAATGCAGGCTCATTGTGATCGGTCATGAACGATGATGGGAATGAAGGAAAATTGGGGGAGGTACTTTGCTGTTGTGATGTTGGTTGAAACGATGGGAACGTTGGGAAAGTAGATGCATCGTTGCCAGATGCTGTTGATGATGGGAATGAAGGGAACGTGTTCTGTTGTTGGTTCAATAGATCAGATTCTTGGTTTGTTTCATTGAGTATATCCTCATCATCGTCCTGAATAATATAATTGGGAAAGTAATGTTAGAACGGAATGACCAGCTATACGACAAATACTACAACTACATACGATTGAAGGTGGTGGGGATGGTTGCACACCGTTCTTGATTGCAGTGTTGATCTCTGCTGCTCTCCAACCAGCATACTTTTGTTTCTGCTTGATATCCTCTGGCAGTTCACTGTTGAACTGCTTCATGATGTCAAAGAAAAGATAGGCAGAGTAGAAGGTGGTTGCAGTTGCTTTTGTAGCTCGACCACCTCTATCCTCTGTGTCTGCATGACCAAATGCCTTCATTGCAAATCCCTCCACATAGTCCAGTTCCATCCCTTCCTCATCCAATTGGGGTCCAAGCTTCTTCTTATCCTAAATATATATATATATATATATCGGAAGGTTAACAATGTACATATATATATTTCTACAGAATAGATTACATACAGTCTCAGCACTATCCAATATCTTTACAATAAAGGGAGACAAGGAGCTGCCTGAAGGTCCAAGCTTTTGTTTGGTCTCGACTGCCAACTGCAGAGCATAGAGCTTGCAGTAGTAGGACATAACAAGATCATGCTTCTCAAGTTGTTTAGCTTGCTTTAGATAAGGGGATATCGCCTTTAGTGGTGTTGGTATGTTATCCATTATTATATTTGTTATTATTTGTATGTAGTAGGTTTGAAAATAGATAATAAGATTGAAGGTAGGTAGCTTTGGAGGTGATGAAAAACCTAAATACTATTGATGATCCTACTCTTGGAGAACAAGGTTTATGGTGGTTCACCAAAAAGGATGAAAGGTGTGTTGTTTATTACGAGATAACCAAGTTGCTGTTGTTGACATGTTCTTTATCAGCCTTGCAAGTTTGTTTAAGTTGTTGTGACCTTCCGCCAATGGTTGCACTCGACACTTGATCCGGTGTTGATATCGCTGGTGTCTGTTGTTGTTTTGATTCAAGTGGTTCCATCTTTATCTTCTTCAACTCTCTTTGTTCTACACACGCCACTGTATTTGATTGAATCGCCTTCCTTTTCATTGTCTTGTCATCTTTGTTGTTGTTCTCTGGATTTGAATTATGTGTCGGTTGTTGTTCATATTTATCATCAATTATACCATCCAAACTTTGAGGTGTAATATTTGGTAGGTTGTACAGTGGACTTGGATAAACAAAGGGGATTTGAAGCGAAGGTGTGAGTAATACTGGTGTCAATGGAATTTGAGTGACGTTGGATGAGTCAATAGGGAAGTGTGGATTGAAGTCCATATTATGATGCTCAACATTTGGTGAGAAGTGTGATGGTACTCCTGTCTCAATAAGATGAGCCTGGAGGTGTGGACGGAAAGGGATTGGTGAGTTGTGATATAAACCGCCGAATCTGCCCTTGTGTTTGGTTGAAAAGTTGGTTGGTTGGTTGCTATTGCTGTTGGTGGTGGTGTTTCCAACACTACCGCCACTCTGTCCAGAGGGTGATGTGGACGATGGAAGTGGATCGACACTTGAGGCGCTTGATGTTTGGAATGGGAGTGATGGGATAGGTGGCTGAATACTCTGGACTTGAGAGGATGATGAAACATCCTCACCATCAAATGGTGACGTGTTGAAGCCAATTGAAAGAGGAAGAGGAATAAGATTGGATTGTTGTTGTCCGATAAATGTTGTCTGTTGTTGTTGTTGTTGTTGCTGTTGTGGTTGTTGTTGTGTTGGCGCTGTTGTTGTGGTTGATGAATCATTTGGAACAATGGCTGCTGCTGCTGCTGCATCTGCAGCAGTGGGTGGTATAGTGTTTGAGTTGATAATAGTTGCAGGGTTGTTGTTAAGTTGTGAAGGAAAGGTTTGGATGATGACAATACTATCGCCATTCTGTTGCTGATGTTTCTTCCTCTTAATCTTGACTGGTTTTTTTGTGTTGTTGTTGTTGTTGTTGTTATTATTGGTAGAGGAGGAAGAATCCGATGACTCGTGGGATGAATCGTCACTGTTGTCAGCTGATGTAGTAGTGTCAGCCGAGTCACCCAATGAAGCCTTCAACTTTGTCTTGATTGGCTTTAGACCTCCGTTGACCTTGAGCAGATAGTCTCTCTTGAGTTTAAGCAGTGGTATGTTCCCATCGGACAGTCTGACTGTGCCCCATCCACTGCAATTGTTTCCACTGACGGTACGTGTCCAATGTGTGGGGTTGATGTAGACAGTGCCCTCTGTTGTATGAATCTCACCGATGGCGTTGACAACACCCGCATGTTGTATTCCCCTATAGTTGTAGCGGACGTGAGCGTTGGCCTGTAGGATGCCATGGTTGATGAGGTCCAACAGTGTTACATTATGTTCACTGACCATTCTACATATAAAGTTGGAAAAGTCTTTGTGTGTGTGTGTGTGTGTCGTATAAATATATATAACTAACAACTAATACTACACATTATACTTTGTAATGTTCTAAAAGTCCTCATGAGGACAAAGGGGAAAGGATGTTTGAAGGTGGATAGTTAGTGTGGGGTGTCAACTTGTAATTGTTTTTATTTTTATAAACATTTTTATTTTGTCCGTTTTGAAAAAAAAACGAAAGCTATTCTTGGATCGATAGATCTGGGGTAGTCCAAGACAATTATTTGTATGTTTTGAAGTAATAATGAAGAGAAAATTTTATCAACATAACCAAACTCAACAACAACCTCAAACTCCACAACAACAACAGCAACAACCTTCATTATCAATAAAAGGGTATTATTATGACAATGAACAAAACAGATATTTTAAGATAACAAAAGATCGACCTGCCAAACAGGTGGATACTCAAGAGCAGTCAGTTGAAGTAGATAACACTCAACTACTATGTTCCAATCGCTACATTGACAGGACTAGTCTGTCAATCAACAATCATCTCTTTCATAATGAGTACCAATGGTCTCGTCCAGCGTCGTCCTACCTCTGTATGCGTGATTGGCACTGTCAAACAGAAACATTGTACCAAGTGGATACCTCTAGAAGTTTGGGACAGTGCACAAATATCGAACCACTACTACTATCATCACGTGCTCAAACTGGAGATGCCAAATCTACAAGTGTACTCTACTCCAAGACAAATGGAGACTTGAGCGCTCAACGAATAGATATGGACAAGAAGGGTTGTCTCTCTTCAACGACCACTTCAAACTTTACAACAACAACAGTCCCGACTCATGGAGAGATCACCTCTATCAAAGCATCAAGGGCAAGTCCTGGTCTACTGTTGTATGTTAGTACAAAAACAAAACACACATTAAATACTACTATATTATTACTTACTAAAATCACTCCTATTTACACCACAGAGTTTCATATCTAGGACAAGGTAACGAACATGGTGGAGTTACAATTCTAAATGACCTATCTGTTGCAAAGACTCTCAGATTGAAGAATGAGAGTGTCTGGAGCAGTGAATGGCACCCATTCGGTGCTCATCTCTCAATTGGTGGATCTGGATCAGTCTATCTGTATGACCTGTTTCATGACGCCATCCATAAACAGCACAACTCCAAAAGTGATGTGTTTGCTCAGTCATTTGGTAGCAACGGATCATTGTTATTCAACGGATCTCGCGATGGTCAGATCAGAACCTATGACCTACGATTTAAATCCTCCAATATCGTTCAATCATTCAATCAATCCAGCAGCAATGACAATCCTTTCTCTGGTGTGGACATAGCATCAATTTGGCCTGATTCATCCCATCAGCCATCGGTTTGGCCAAAGCTTTGGATGACACGCCACAGTGGTGGAGAAGGTCTTTCAGTCAAGTCGAGTATTTGTTCGATCCAATCGCTGAGAGACGATAACTATCTGATTGTATCTTCAATGAATGGACAAGTAAGTAGTATTGTGGATCTGGTGAGGATGCTGGTGGAAACATGTTACTGACAACAACTACAACAACAACAACAGCTTGTCAAGTGGGACAGGAGAGTTGGAAGAATATGTGTACACTATGACCAACATTGTAATAGTCACACAATGTTAAAGTTTACCGTCACTGATGATCAGAATCTCCTCATATCTGGTGGTGAAGACCGTTACGTGAGGATATGGAACTTGCACAATGGCTCACTACTTAGGACATTGGGACCATTCAAACAGCCAGTTCTTTCAATTACAACTTTACAGTACAACAAACAACAATTGGACAATAACTACTTTTGCTTTGGAAGTGACAATAAAATCTCTTTGTTTCCATTTGTTTGATCAACCCTTGTATTGTGAAAGTAATAGAATAATCTTCGGCTTTTTACTACTGAAAAAACTTGCTCCAGCCCCAAAACACTTCTGCTCTGATTCGAATCAAAACTCAACAGTATCCAAACTAATGATCATTATTACTATTATACCATACAGAGAAACGAAACAACATGTTCAAGTTTACCAAGTTATTTAGTTTAGAGCATGATGTCATCCCTAAGATACCAAGCGATCAATTGCCACCAGAGGCAAAGCAGGTTTCCTCACCGCCACTAGATTCCTTTGTCAACAACAACAACAACACAAAGAATGACGACATGCCCAATCATTACGGATCGTCAGCCAACAACAATCGTATTGGCAACAATAATGACAGACCAATACCATTCAAGCTTGGTTCTTCATTCAACAATATCTATGCATCACAACAGTTGCAGCAGCTACAACAACAACAACAACCGCAGATTAACACTCCACCTTCATATTTACTACACCAACGTCATCAACAACTAATAAACACTTCCGGTGGAATGAATGGCAGTACAGGATCATTGTACACAGCACCATCCAATCCTAATACCGACAGTGATGAGGACGACGAAGATGTCAGGATCGATGACTTTACAACGATGGACAGCGACAATGAAAGCAACAGTCGTGGCAGTTCGCAGCTATACAATACATCGCAGGCCACTGGCGGACATTCATTGGACTCTGCCAATATCTTTGAATACTATCAACAGTTCCAAAAGAATGTGGCACAGATCATCGATCTAAAGATCATTGGCAGAGACAACACTGGAACTTTTTTAATATCACGTGTGGCAATATATGATGTAAGTTGTTGCCGAATCACATAAACGAGAGGACACGGTCATCTAACTAACTAACAACGTCATTCGTTGAATCCATTACCCTAGGGTATTACAAAAACCTCTATTGACAAGGTGGATATCTATGCAGTTCAGAGACGACCAGAGTGCATCCTAAAGTTCACAGGAACCATCATCAATGCATGCATCAGCAATGACACGAGCAAATCACTGTTGATATTCACTGTCAAGTTGCCTGACAAAGTGATCGATAGGAACACCAAGAATGAAGGTATGTTATCCATACAACTACTACAATAGTGTTTCATCATCTAACCACTACCACTACTACAACAACTATAGTGTATTCATCATATATACATGAGATCAATAGAAAGACAGACTTTCATGCATTGGAGATGATGTCACCATTCCCATTGTCCTACCACTTTTTGTGCGTCGATAAGAACACGATGCATCTACTGCTCATCCAAAGCAATGAACTCTACACTGTCAAGGTGCCAATACTTCGCGACGCCAATGGAATCTATCTGACACCCACCAAAAAGACAGTGGTCCTAAAGAAGACTCCAATCTTCAAACAGTTCTTCTGGTATCAATTCGATGATATCACTCAAACTCTCTATTGTCTGGCACACCAGAAACTCCGCTCGGCCAATGGTCCCTCTGACAATCTCTTCCGCTCATGGGTCTTCCAGAATGGCAAGCCTGTCCCACTACATGAGTTCCTCATCCCCCTGAACCTTATGCCAACTTCGTCGGACAAGGAGGTATCGCCCAATCTTCCTTTCCCCTTGCTACTCTCACAGAGGCCCGATCCAGTTCACCAAAACATCCATATGGTTAACTTGAATGGTGTATGTATACCAAACCTACAGCAACAGCAGTTGTTAACATTGCGCTAACCTTAAACATTATTAAGAATGGACTGTGTCTATGCCATCAAGAAGAGTCAACACCAACATCAATTAGGATCAGTGTATATATATTACATCTTCGTCAGCGTATAAGGTACTCAATCCCTTTGACGAGCATTGATGGTGGAGCACAATCGATACAAGTGACACGAGTCTTGTTTGACTGCATCCTCAACCTATTGATGGTCTACATTCCTGGACACTTTTTACAGTTTATCGATTGTTCCTCCGATCATGAGCCCTGCTTTGGTGTCACCATCTACAAAGACCTTTCAGCGCCTCTCAAAGGTGATTCATCACACGATTCCTCTGACATTGTATCAACGAGAACCAGACCAATGCCAACCAAGATCAGTACCTCTGTGATCCCATACTACCTAAAGTCAAAGCCAGGTAAAGTATCAGCATCAATCAAAAGTCACACAATAGTATATATATTGAGTTTACTAACAACAACAACAACAACAACTGGATGATAATAATCTTTAGACCAATATCTATTCGACTACCAACATGGTATTTTGTACAAATATAACTTTGTAAGAGAGGCCATTACGAGTCTATTCGAGAGAGACACGATCAAGAATTCTCTTGACCCAGGCACGGACATCAGAGCACTGCATCTAGCCAACATTCACATTCAAAATGATGACGAGGTGGTACTAAAGATACTTGTGCGACTGGCAAACGATCCCAACCTGATCACATCGGATCTACTCAAGGAGTATATTCTGGGATCGAGCTACAAGGCATTGCGACAGAATAACCTTGACAACACCTATCTTCAAATGCTCCCAATGACATGTCTCGAAGGCTTGGATACCACCACTCTAAAGACCATCCTCAAGGACATTGACATCACACCAATCACCAGTCCTCTGCCAGCAACCATTACCTCAATTCGCAAGGATGACACGAACAAAAGACGACTCAAATCATTCCAAGCGACCAAGCAAGATACCATACAACGAGAGAATACCTTTAACACTTTTCCAGGATTCCTCAAGAACTTCTTTGACTGTAGGTGTTATACACTACTTGCATCCCATTAGGATATTATATTCTAACAACATCAATCACTTCACACATCATACAGTCAAATCAGATGATTCCTCATCGATCCGCAAATCAAACTCTGAACAAACACTGGTCAGTCCACCAAAGACACCAAACTCTGGATCAAAGATAGCTCTGAACATCTCACTTGAGAACTACGAAGAATACTCACTGGCAGACATTCACAACTATTCATCGACCTTGGCCGACTATTTCCTTTCTGTTTCCCAGAAAGAGACCAGAGAGAAGTTGATTGAATGGGCCAACAGCTATCGACATGTACAGATCAACACTGTCAACTTCCTCTACAATACGATCAGGAAGAACATCATCAACCTGGACGATGAGATCATATCGATACGCGACCATCCAAAGAAGCCTCAACTCTTCCGCGGCATGGAGAGACTGTACGTGGCGATCGAGGAGCTCAACTGTCCCTTCCCAAAGGACTTTTTCTCTCACTTTACCATTCTTGGCTTCCATTGTCTACCAAGGACAGTGTTTATGCAGTATCTGCAGCGAGGTCTATTCGTTGTTACTGCCACCTTTATCAAAGAACTGCTCGACTTTCTCCAACACAAACGACTGGATGGTCAAGATAGGAACTTCATCAACCAAGTCCTGTTGCATCTCAAAGACACAAACAAGATGGTTGGCTACATGCAGGAGCACTGTGTAGACAGTGATGGAAGTGCATTTGTCTTGGACCATTTGATTCAGAAGTTGGTGGCACAGATTGAGGAACCACGTTGCGAAGCAGATGCCATGGGACCTGATTTCTCCCAGTCTTTGTTTATGCCATTGACATCATTGATTAACTATCTTGACAAGGGTAGTAATATCAACAATAATAGTAACAACAGTAATAACAATAGAACACCACAACAACAACAACAACAACAACAACAACAACAACAACAACAACAACAACAACAACAACCAAATGCAACTACACCACCTAAATCATTCACCTCCCCACCAACCTCTGGACCAAGTTCCCCAACTCTATCCGGTGGCACTGCAACAGCTGGTCCGACAGCTGTTTCCTCTGCTGCGTCTCAACTGGCCACACTCAACTACATCAAGAATCAAGCTCACAAAACAGTGGTTGCCATGTTGGAAGAGAACCTAGTATGAACATGTTGAGTCTGTTCAGTCCTGTAATAAATAGTTTATTGTTACAACAATCAATCTCTTTGTGATTTGTTAGGAGTGTTGGTGGGTGGTCCATCAGACTCTCTCTCTCTCTTGAAGGCTGGAGGGGCTGAGCTAGCTACACACTGCACTCTTAGAATGTAGCCTTCTTTGAACCTAGAAGATGGCTATTGGTTGTGACATCCATCTTTGGTCTGGAAAGGAAGGTCTTGTTGCCAGCTGATCGTACATCAATGACATATCCATTTGAAGTGAGGTGATTGACAAGCTTGACCTTCAACTCTCTGCTGATAACCTTGGGCACAGCGTTGTTGATGTAGACATTGTAAGATACACCGTTCTCTTCAACGGTGACATCCTTGTTGTTGATGTTCTCTGCTTGTCTAATGATGTTTTGGTAAACGGTGTCCATTGATAGTAATTGTTGTAGAAGTAGTAGTAGTAGTTGTATTTGTTATAATTAGAATTTATCTTTATGTGTCTTTTGGAGAGTTAGGTTTGATTGTCAGAGTGTGAAATGGATATTATTTTTATTTGTTTTTTTATTATTTGAATTGGTGGGTATCTATGACCCATTTCGGCTTTGGAACTTTTCACCCATCAAACACAAACAAACACCTACAGATAAATACATGTCAACAACTGGACGAGGAGCACCTTCTTCTCTTTCTACTTCTATCATGAAGAATGTGGTGAGCAATGGTGATGATCCATTATCATTCAATTCATCTGCCAACTCCACAACAGTCTCAAGTAATAGAAGGCCATGGATGAACTCATTCTGCGTTGTCAACTTTGACCTAGAGCTTGGCCAGAGTAAGTAGTCAGTGTTTGATCGTGATTACGATCGTTGTTGCTGATTTATTACTATTGCCACTCACTCCTCATAATAGCTTTGGAATACAGCTTCCCAAAGATTGGATTGTTGGAGGAAGAGGTCACAAACCTGTACGTCAAACCACTTGTTAACAATGACATTATACTTACAACATATCGCCCCATCTATAGATGCTTTCTTTCATTCCCCGATACGAGCTCACATCAACAAGGAGATATTATCTATTCGTTCAAGATTGATTGCAAACAACAGCTAGTGTCCTCAACAACAAACAACACATCGTATCAATATGGCTATGTATTCTTTCGTCAAGAGAAGGACCCATCAATACCACGAGGCTACCTCCAAAAGTCAGTGGTATTACTCAGTGATGAACACTTTGTTGGTCTGTACAAGAAAGTGATCGAGGTCATTGGTCCACTGTTCTTTCAGTTTGGCAGCACGCTCTTGGAGGTGGCCCATCAGAATATATCGGCATGGCCACAGCTGGTTTTCGGGCAGACATACGAGTTACCAATACTCGGTTCAATATTCACGTTTCATGCCCCTTCCTCCTCTGGCACACCCTACACAACCGACCCTGTCCTCAAGCAGAATCTCACAGCGCTCAAAGAAAAGTCACAGGTCGTATCGGTCAGCAGCATTCAAACAAACGAACTGTATCGATGCTTCAAGAGCTTGGCAAACAAACTCTGGATGCTCTGGGAGATGGTACTACTTGGTCATCCAATCCTGGTGATATCACCCAGCCCAGCACATTCGTCAGACACAGTTTTGGCATTGATTAGTTTGATTGCACCACTAAAGTATTCTGGAGACTATCTACCCTATCTAACCATCAATGACAGCAACTTTCATAAGTACACCGTGGCACATCCACTTGACCAACCACCTCCATCTTCAATACTGGGTGTAACCAATCCATTCTTCCTAAAGGCACTGGAGCATTGGCCAACCATTTTAAATATTGGTTATCAATATCAAAAGTATGTCATCATCGTCATCATATTTTTAAGTCTACATATTACTTACAATTACTCTCCTTATACACATTGGTTGTAGACATGAATCTTCTCCTTCCTCTCCAGGGAAGAAGTCAATGGCACTGTCTTTTATGCCAAAGGATAGTTTTATTGGTAAACGTCTATCACCCGACCAGAATAAGGAGAGAATCAATACATCATACAAGTCACACATCATACCAGACAAATCATCAATCAAGAAAATCACCGACCACGACGACCTTGCCATAGTTAATCAGGGTCTTTGTGATTACTTCCAGCAACAGACACACAACTTCCTCATGCCATTGGACAGATATTTCTCGACACTGCTGCCCACAACCAAGTATGTGTTATCTTTCTAATGCATGATCATCATCAACATTATTCTAATTGTCGTCCAAAACAACATCTAGAGCAATATCAATTTTCCAGAGACCACCTAGACTCAAGTATTTCGATAACAAAGAGTTTCTTGATAAACTGGAAGAGAGCGAGGAAACATATATCACCGACATCAAGAGTAAGGAGCTAAGTTTGTATCGAGAATTCCTACTCAGTGTCAACTTTAAACAATGGTTGGAGGACAAAAGAAATGAAGCCATCAAGAATCTCAATGTACTCTACAGACAGGCCATTATCGACGCTGACATCTCCGCACTGCTGAAACACAAACCAATATCTATAATTCAAGACCTGTACAAAAGAATTCAAGACCAATTGGTAAGTTTGTTTGTTTGATCCAATTAGTTAGTTGGAGGAATGGTCATATATATATTAACATATTAATTGATTAACTGGTTGAATCATTAGGTATTGGAGGAAAACTTGTTCCATACTCCGGTTGCCCTTCTTCAGAAGATGAAGGAGGCACTCAGGCTAATTTCTTTGCACCTGCAGAGCACCAAATAAACACCACCAGGGAGGAGGGGTTTTTTCACCTATTCTTTCAGACTTGGGAACTGTGGCAAGACCAATGACTATCGCTGTCTGTGTGTTTGAAACGGAGTGTCCCTCATTTATTCATTAACCTCTCTTACTTACTTTTATATATATCTTTATAAATATATACCATCAACGATGAATGGTGATGGCATTAACCTAAAGAGGAGCAAGAGCAGTCTCACAAACTCACCTCTATTGCACTCCTCTCCGCCATCGCCACTTCTAGTTACATCTCTTTCCTCGTCCTCCTCCCTCATCGGAACAGGTCTATATAGCAACGACAGCACATCACAATCAATCTCCCCATCGATACCCTCCACACCACTGCAACAGACAGATAATATCAACAACCAACATGTAATATACTCAGAAAATATCAAAGACAATGTTGTACAACTACGAGACGATCAGTCGCCTCCGCCAATCTCTCGACTACAGTCAATCAGGAAATGGATAATTCATCAGGTCAAGACAAGCACCTACCAGACTTGGATCAAGTTTGCATTGGTGGTGCTGGTGATCATTGGAATATGTTTAGCAGTGTTTGTGTTCAAGGTGCAGAACCATCTGGAGGCTCTGCAGAACTATGTCAAGAAATTAGGCATTGGAGTTGGTGGAGKTGGTGTATATGGGTGTGATGATTGGACTGACCTTGTTCTTTGTCCCCGTCACTATCCCAACTATATGTATGTGTTCAACACCGCCTTTGATCATCAAAGGGTCGTCCAAGTATATACACTAACCAACCAACCAAACAAACAAACATCACTCATCTCTATCTATCTATCTATCTACTAGTGGGAGGAATAATCTTCAAGCTTTGGTTTGGAATGTTGTTTGTATGGTCAGCGCTTGTTATAAGTGCATCGCTCTCATTCCTACTAGGGCGATATGTATTTAGAGCTACAATCGTTAAGATGGTTAGTGTCCATAACAATAGAATGATGATGATTGTTACCCAATAGATGATCATAATATCTAACAACACAGTGCCATACACATCACAGATCGAAAAGAACAGGAAGCTGCAAGCAGTGGATCAAGCTATTGGACAAGAAGGATGGAAGATTGTTTTGTTACTGCGGCTCACTCCTATTATACCAGAAACTCTGCTCAACTATTCACTGCCTGTGACCAATGTCAAGTTTATACATTACTTTGTCTGTTCGGCCATTGGATTCCTTCCAGGTGTTGCATTGTAAGTCGATGATGGTTCAAAACTACACTATCACATAACCTATATTGACCAAATGATCGACACCCAGCTTTGTTTATATGGGCAGCATGATTGGTGATATATCTCAAATCGGAAAGAGACACATTGGAAAGACAGAAATCATCATGTATTGTCTCTCTGCATTCTTTATGGTCGTTGCCATCACATTCATCACCATTATTGTCCGAAGAGCCATCAATAAGAAGTTGGATCTAGACGAGACTCATAAACTGCTGATTAACGATGACGACACTGACAAAGACGATGAAATAGACCGCGACAACATTCAGGAGGATGATGAACTTATTGACCAAGTCATCGAGCAACCAGAGGAACATAATGATATCGATATCATGCCATAGTTGGTCGACAACTGGCAATTATAAACACACTAGAGGAGAAATATTTCCTTGTATTACTACCATCATCACCAGTGGAGGTCCACAATGGTTTATTCACTTGGATTAGATAGCTTTGGTCCATCCTAGGGAGCATGATCACTTGGTAATCACTTTATTGCCAAAGGGAGAGGCCAGAGGACGATGCAGTTCCTGATACGATGTCACCGCTAATGACAAACGATGTCCTCTTCAAATCGTAGATCTTGGAGTTTGGTCTGGTCGAGTCGCACAGGCCATCACAAAGGAACACGTCCACCATGTAGAGTCCTGGTAGGAAGTTGTTGTCCTCGTTTGGTATGGTGGTGAAGTTATACTTGGACGAGTGCATTCCCTCCTTGACATCAGCCAACAAAATATAGTGGTAGGTCACTACGCCTTGGCCTGGTGCATACAATTGGTACTCAATGGTGCCAGTTCCGATCTCGTTGTACACCTCGTACTCTACATCAATCCAGAACGTTGTGTTTTGGGCACCGATTGGAGGGTCGGAGCTGACAGAGGTAATGCTTGCGTTACCATTGACGTTGATGTCACATAGCTTTGCCATCTGGCATATATAGATTGGATCGGGATCAGCTCTATTTAAATGGTGTAGTTTGGTTAGAAACGAACGTTCCACAATGGTGGTGGTTGATGTATGAATCTCAGGCAATACATTACTCTTCCAAGATGGCAACAAAAAAGATGGCACCCACAGCATCACAGACAACCAAGCATTCAGTGAATGTAGTTCCATTGAATGAGCTGCAGATATCAGAACATGTCTTGTTTGCACCGTCTAGAGAATAGGGTATTGTAAGTATAGTGCTTCATTCACATCATCCTGCGTGTGTTGGAGATGATTACCTTCGATGTGTCTAATCAATATCTCGAGATTGGTGTTGACAAAGCTGTAGCACTCCTCACAAGCAATGGCATCAGAGATTAAGTATTTGTCGATTGTTTCTTTGGTCAACTTGTTGCCACCTCCTATCTCCATGTTATAGGATAAGGTTATAGGCGCTAAGCATATCAATGCCAACAAACAAGCTAAGGTAATCGTACTGTTCATTCTAATATAAAATGTATGTTCAAGTAGTAGTAGTAATAGTAATAGTGAAGTAGAGGCATTGTATTTGCTTGGTTGTTGTTGTTGTTGTCCAGATCCTAGAGGTGGTCCACAGAATAGTAATGCGCATCCAAACAATCGAATAGATAGATATTTGTTACTGTTTGATTACTCCGACACCACTTCCTCCCTCTGCATGCATTACTTCAGTCCGATAATGATGACAGATGACGTTTGATAGTTCCATTGTTGGACCACTTTTTTATCTGTAATGATCAACAAACGATTCAACAACAACAACAAGTGAATAGAAACAGCATCATCAACAACAACAACAAAGACAACCTGACAGTAACACAACAATACTAACCTTCAAAGTGATGAGTGAATGCTTACTATACGCCACCAAAACCTTTTGTCCACGATGTACATTGGTGGAGAGACGAGGTTTACACCTGACTGATGCTCAGGTGGTTTCAAAGCCTGACAACAAGGTGTACCTCAAGTCATTATGCTCAAGACACCCTTCCCAATACACTCTTTACTGTTCATCGCTTAGTTTCTTTAATAGGGTATGTATGTTTGTTGTTTAGACGTCATCATTGTCCTTTATGCATACATACATATATCTAATCAATAACATAGATCCTAAGCTACACTACAGACAGCATTGACAAGAAACTCAATCAAGACATTGAGGACATTTGTCAAAGATACTCTCAACTACAGATTCAACAACAACAACAACAACCAACTACTCAACAACCAAACAATAGCAACAACAACAACACCAACAATGCCAACACATCATTAATAATAGAGCTCAATATATATCAGAACTCTATATTTCTAAACGATGAGACCATATGCAGCAATATCAAACAGTTCCAATCATTATATCCAAAGAATAGAAAGGTAGGTCCGTCATTCAACTCTTTCTAGATCACGTGATAGCTAGATGAATGTTGCCCACTAACAACCCTACAACAAACAGTTCTCTTTAAAGGTTATGGCAAAGGGATCCAATGATGTTCAAACGATCAACAACAAAGTAATATATATTGCATCATTGCTCAAGGGCTATCCGATACTGGTTGAGGTCACAGTGGAGAGACTCAACATGATTGGCAATCTAGCCAACAGCTGCTTCCTCCTGGGCAAGGTCTATCCAGCATTGAAGTACTTCTTGAAGCAAGGTGACGAGGAACTATTTATCAAGGACATGCATAGACTTCTCGCCATCCTTGGACAATACAATGGCATTCAAGCCGTGATCACCGTGGCACTGGAACGCAAGTTTGCAAACTTGCACAGCATCCTCGAGTTGCTACGATCCAAGAACGAGGTGATCCGAATCATCATTCTATCATTGGAGCGACCACCCAAGGAGATTGTTTCGTCACTCCAGAAAAAGATGGTCATCCAAGGCAACCAAGTGTCAAGCTCAACATCATCCACAACCGCTTCATCCTTGACACTGGAGGATGCAGAGTCTACAGACTTGCAAATCAATTGTAATGATCCATACGAGCTCATTCAAGAGATTGAAAGAGCGACAGATAAGAGTATTTCTAGTGATGGTATGTGTAAATTCCAGGCAACGAGATTGGTAGGACCTCCTTTACTAACCTATTTACTTGTTGGTACCATACTCAGACTTCTTCCCAGTCAATGTTGGATCAGCACTGGAACCAATGTTGAACTTGATGGGCTATGGAATGTTTAGCATTAGACCTTCACCATTCTGTGGCTTTGCGACTCTACTTATCAATACAGACACGATCCATTCACGTCCAATCAACAAGTTGTTCAACATTGGCAAATTCTACAGGGATCTTCAGCCATTGCTACCATCGTTGGAGGAAAAGATAGGATTCTTCAATGGTCTAAGGTTAAAATCTGTATGTATACAAACAGCCATACAGACAGACAGACAGGTAGATAGATGACTAATCTTACTTACCTTACTCCTACCTGTCTTGATTAGATTATCAAGTCATGTCACTGGGACAATGTACCGATACCAAACATATTCGACTACTTCACAGACAGAGCCAAAGCAGACATTACCAAGAGAGTGATAGATCAAACACAAATACTTATCATTCACAACAATATGGATATCGCCGCACTAGATCTCAGGCGAAGGTGTAACTGTGCCGTCAGTACAAAGACAAAGGATGGTTTCGTGTCCTCCTGTACTGGTTGTATTTAGTAGTGCCTTGATGTTATAAATGGTCGACAAATATGCTGCATACGAGATCGATTGATCGTTTATTCATCCAACTCTCCTATATATACAACGCCCTCTTGTCGTTTGTCCTCTGATTTCTCAAGCATCTCGAATGGTTCGTCTGTGGAGTGGAACTTCTCAAACAGTTCAGAGCAGTCCTTTCCTGCTTGGTCTGCAATGTATTGATCGTTTATACCCTCACCAGGGTGCAGTGAATGAAAGTGAGAGACGTCGTACACCTGTTGTTCGTTCGTTCGTTTGTTCGTTTTAGATAGAAAGATAGATAGATTGAGAGATAGATAGAACACTTGTTAGTGTCATTGGAAAGCAATCATGTTGTGGGGGTGTTGGTTTCGAGTGTCAACCCTGCCCAACAACATCAACAACAACAACAATCATACCTTTCCATGAACGATGATCCAACAATCATTTCTTGAATTATGCTTGGCAACCTCTTCCTTTGTCAACACCATTCTATATATCTATCTGTCTTACTGTAAGTTAATCTTCGTCTAATGAGTCGTTTCTACGAATTTCAAATTCAGATCCCAACCCCAAGTTCGTCTCCTAAGGTCACTGACAGAGCATCCATTATTATTATTATCAACTACACATAACTAGTTATGAACAGCCAACAACCAGACAAACGCTATAACGTTCAATATACAAATCAAAAGCACAAGAAACAGAAGCAATGGTTTGAGGGATCCATAGTGTGCTCCAGTACCAAGATTACACTCATAGAGGCAGACACCAAGAAGACGCTCGATTCAAAGTTTAGAAATAGCTCCATGATACTGGATGACGATGTGGAGTTGGAAACAGATGGATATATCATTAGGATCATTTCAAGTGAACAAAAGAGTAGTAGTAGTTGTAGTAGTGCCAGTACTCTGAGAACATCAAAGCAGACCTCACAAACAATTGCTACCAGACCCACAACGGGCAAGAGGAAGGGATTCACAGTTCCTACTGGTAGTGGAAATGCTCTCCTCAAGGAGGCCACACCTCCCATTCACCAATCATCTCTTGAAGTCAACAACAACAACAACAACATCAACAAAAGCAATGAAGAGGATGATGATACATTTGTATATAGACAGCCACAAGGACACAGACAAGGAACAGAGTTACGTAAAACTCGAGACATCAACATCAACAACACCAACAACAACACCAACAACAACATTTTCAATGATGAAAGCAATGTTTCCCTGGAACCAAAACTCACCTATCCAGTTCAACATGTCAGAGTAACAGAACCACCTGCTGATTCACGTCCATCTCAACCAAAGTCAAGTCTATTGGGTATTCTATCTTCATTGAACAGGTTGGCTGCTCCTGCTCAATCATTGGAGGTTGTTTTACAACCAACAGCAACAGTAGCACCAGATTCACCAAAGCAGTCACTTGTAGATGACTTTGAGTTTGACTACAGCGATCAAACTGTGGACAACCCCGACGACTACGTCCAATCTTCAGTGGCACCCTCTTCAACAGCTCTTCCACTACCAAAGCCAACACTCCTCACTCGACCTTTACTCCTTACAACCAAGTCACAGACCTCAACACAACTAGTATCAACATCCGGAGGTCTGAAGCGAAAGCCATTTGCACCATTGCATCCTGGACAAGGTACTGTAGAAACGCCACCACCAAAGTCATTGAGGAGCAAGTTGTTCAACTCTCCAGGCTCACTCAACAAGAAAGGCAACAACAATGAGCCTGACTGGAGTCCAGACTCGATTGTATTCCCAGATGCAAAGACTTGCGAGAACCTCTACCTTCGTGGCACAATCGATCGAAACAGAACGATAGTCAACAGTTTTGAGTCAATAGACTCGTACCAACAGTGTTTTGTCATGGCCATCCAAGAGGAGCTCAACATCAGATTGGTTGAACTGGCACACAACTTTTATAAGAGCTGTATCAACTTAAATACCTCTTCCAGTAAGTAGTCATGCTCTTCAATTGCAATGTTATGTTCACTAATCTTACTATAATCAATCATAGGCAATCCAAAGTGTGAGCATGGACCTACAATCAGATTGGTGACAAGGATGGGAGCAAACAAAGGAAAGGAGTACTTTAAGTGTGCTGCACCTAGGAACAGAAGCTGCAATTTCTTTCAATTCCTGGGCACTTCCCAGCTAACTATGCCACCCATTGTGTAAGTCAACTCAGTTCCTACCAGTAGGAAATGATTACTAACTATTGTATTCTACAAACCATCACATCAGTGACAATCACATTGTAAACCTGCCCACTGGTGACAGGTGTGAGGAAGTAGAACAGATATTCAACAACCGTGGAATATCACTCTATATGTCTGCCGACCTCTACGTCAAAGAAGAGAGAATACCAACTGTGTCCACCGACACCTTCACTGTAAATAGCAACTCCCAACAACAACCAACTCAACCAAAGATATCCTACTTTCTCAAGTTCCAAAAGAAGAAGTATCAACAATATTCAAAGGATGATTTATGGATACTGTCAACAAACAGCAACTTCTCAATCAACCCATTCATTGTGAGGAGTATTTTCCATGGTCCATCCCAACTGGGAATGATCGAGGTCAAACCAATTGGTGATATCCCTGAGAAGCTGAGTCGCGTGAACAAGGTATTTGCTATCCAGGCAATGAATGCATCAACGGAACTATCAATGATAGGTAAGTGAAATGGTGGTGAGCACCGTTGATATATTTATATATTCTGACACCGAACCAACAACAGACAACCTTCAGTCATCTATATTGGAGACACTTCCAATTTCCAGTACACTCCTAGACCCAACAAAGGAGACTGTATCCAACAATGACACCTATGATAAGTTCTACATGCACATTACCATAGAGGAGGGTCTAGCGCTTGCAAATGAGTTTATAGATAAGTATAGTCTCAATGAGCATCAATCAAGGTTAGTAATAATATTGACAATTATTATCTGATACAACTATACTTATACCTCCTAATCATTCACTATAGAGTCCTAATGGAATGTTTCAAATGGTTCAATTTCATTGACTCTGAGAAGGAGAACTATTCACAGCCAGTGCTGCTGGTTCATGGAGTCTTTGGATCGGGCAAGAGTACTCTACTCGTAGTCATTATACTATTCATTGACAGACTGTGTGAACTTGGCGACAATCATCTCATCAGAGTACTTGTGTCATCATTGACCAACGTAGCAGTTGACAGGATACTTCTAGGATTGCTACAGTATGGATTTGACAACTTCAATAGGATTGGAAGTGTAAAGAAGATCGCCAAGCCCATTCTCCTCTACATTCTCAAGAGTGGTGGTACCTTGGGCGGTCGTACTGACCTGGACACAGAAATCATCAACGATCTCAAGAGCATGCTAAAGACTGAGACGTTATCCGAGGATGAACGGACCATTCTACAGGAAACCATTGAATCCATCAAGTCTGGCAGTACAATCAAGAGGAAGGACCTTGGAAAGAGTCGAGTGGTAGGTGCTACCTGCAACTCATCTCTATTCTCCAGTTTGGATGGACAGGAGTTCCCTATACTATTCCTGGACGAGTGTAGTCAAATGCAAGAACCACTCTCATTGCTTCCAATCTGTCGTAGCAAGTGCCATAGGCTCGTGGCCGTAGGTGATCCCATGCAACTGGAGCCAACAATCCACTCCAAACCATCAGAGCAACTTATCAAGAGTGGTGGAGGTCTAGAGAAGACACTCTTTGTAAGATTGTCTGCCATGAATGTCAAACCAATACTATTACGAACACAGTATAGAGTATGTGTAGCATCTAACATAGGAATCAATCAATAGGAAACACTAACTTATACCCCCTATTCTCTAGTGCCATCCGGTCATTAGCAACCTGTCCAACCATTTGTTCTACAGTGGAATGTTGAACGATGGTATAATGGAGGTACACAGACAAGCATTGGTCAACAATCTTCCACCAATTCTATTCGTCGAATCAGACAGTGGATCAGAGGCACTGGATAACTTTGGAAGTTATTTCAATGAAGACGAGGTCAGTTTGGTCATGTCAATCATTGAGATATTGATGAATAATGGAATCAAAGAGAGTCAGATTGGTGTCATATGTTTATGTATGTGTATCTTAAATATCTATCTAGATTGATTATTAATATCATCTTCTATCCTTTAGACAAAGCACAAGCACTAAAGATACAACTCAAGTATAAGGAGATGCGAGAGAAAACAAAGAAGAATGTTTCAAATATGTCAACAAATGATCCATTTGTCGAATTTGAATGGGACAACTTTGATGATGATCCTAATCAACAGGCGTCTGAGGAAGAAGACATTGACGGCAAGCAATCAGAAGAGATCAAGATTAGTACTGTTGATGCATTTCAAGGTGCTGAAAGAGACATTATCATACTCAGTTGTTCCAGGACGACACAAGCATATGGATTTGTGGACAACAATCAGAGGCTCAATGTGGCCATCACCAGAGCCAAACATCATCTTTTGATTGTTGGACGTTCATTGACTCTAGTCAACAATGAGAAGTGGAAGACAATTATCCGAAGTGCCAAGTGCACTGTATCTGGACGAACATTGGTCAAGTCCAAGCAGTTTTATGCCTCCACACCAAACGAATAAAAAACCCCCTGGGTTGACCCAAAAATCAAACAAAATCACAGAACACACCCTTTTGAGATCTCGATCCTGGGAGTGAGTAGTACGTAAAGGTGGGAGGAAGAGCACACTAATTGTTATCAACAACAGATAATTATTATTATTATATATATATATATATTTATTGTAGACGCCTACTACAACTAAATCATGGCAAGGTCACACAAAGGGAAGGACAAGTTTAAGGTCAAGGTGGAGATTATGGTTAAGAAGGTGGCCAATCTTAAAGAACTCAATGGTAGCTCAGTGTTCATATCTTGGAGGCGTGGCACGTCAAAGGTGCAGGGAGAGACCACCCATACCATCGTTAGGAATGGTGAGGCCACCTTTGAAGAGAAGATATCCTTTGAGTCAAAGTTCTTCATTGATGCCAAGACACAGAAGCCCGACGAGAAGAAGCTGTCAATGTCATTGAAAGAGGTATGTAGTCAAAAGTGAAGACTTAAAGTCGTTCAGGTGATTTAAGCTGACCATTATATTGTATAGGAGAAGAAGAAGTCCTCAAGTGGAAAGGTGTTGGGAAAGATAGAACTCGACTTGACCTCCTATATGAACTACAAGACCACTCAGATCGTTAATCTATCATTCACCAAAGGCATCAAGCCTGAGCCACAGATAACTGTATGTTGTGATACATCAACATCAACAACAACAACAACAACAACAACAACAACAACAACAACAACAACAACAACAACAACAACAACAGATCAAATGACTAACATTCATTTGATATCTATCTCTAGTGTACTTTTAATACTATACCACTCAAATATAATGACAAGCCCTTGGTTAAAGTTCTAAACAAAGATACCGTATCCAAGGATCCAAGGTTGGTAAAGACTATCTCTGGAGAGGACTACTTCTTGGACAAGACAGACTCTGCATCAGATACAACCGTCGATACATCACAGATCACCGATATGGTATGATTGACAAATATGTCACATGGTCTATGTTTCAACAACTAACAATGGTGTTGATATTCAACGATCTAGTCAGTGGACTCTTTTGGAGACGACGACATCAATGATGATCTAGGAGAATCAAAGAAGGAGTTGAGACAGCAGATCGATCAGATAACAAAAGAGAAGGAGCTGGCAGAGAATGAAGCAGATGATCGACTACAAAGGATGAAGGATATGGAGACTGAGATTGAGAATCTCAAGAAACAGAACAAGATACTGCACGATGATATAGCTGATAAGGAGAGGTTGATCGAGTCCTATCAGGTCGAGAAGGATGACCTAATCAATCAACAAATGATGCAATCATCCAGAGGTATGTAATGAAATGTCCAATAGCAACAATGTATATATACTTATACCAAACCAAAGCACTGAGCGATAGTAATGGTGTAACAGAGGTTGATATGCTGAAACAAGAGAAGCTGGAAAAGATGACCGTAATCGCCAATCAGGAGAAGGAGATTGCCAAACTCAAGAAGCAGGTTAAACAGAACCAGCTGTCAAACTCAGAGATTGGCTCACTCACTGGCACTGACCTTCGAGGCAAATACACAGCACTGCAGCAAGAGAACGAGGAGATGGAGAAGATGATCGCACGACTTGAGAAGGAGAACGCAGAGCTACAAGAGAAGCTAAATGTTGGCATCACCACAAAGAAAAGAAGCGATTCATTCAATGGTGGCAACAGTGCAAATGATATTGGTGTCGTTACAAAGTCTGGCTCAGTCGATGAGCTGAGACGACAGTCACTGGCCTACAAGCAGGAGCTCGATGAGAAGACTCTGATCGAGAGGACCATCTTCTTGGCAGAACCACAGTTCAAGGGTACTCTGTCGGTCTCTGGCATCAACCTGTTTGATGGATTGGTGGCACAAGGCATTCTGAAGGATGCCAAAAGTGGCAGCAGGATCTTCTCATCAATATCCACTGCGTTTGAGACCACACTGAAGAAGTGTATCAACGACAACAATATGCTCGCCTACTGGTTGTCCACCAGTTGTCTGCTGCTGGCCAAGATCGAATCGTCACAAGGCTATGCTGGCAGTGAGGCCGCTGACAAGGCTGGTCTCTCACCAATCAGCAGTTTTGAGTACCAGCTCAAGACCACCATATTTAAGTTCTACAGTCGACTGATTCAGAACACCTACGCAAAGATCTCACCCGTGTTGATCAGGAGTATACTTCAACACGAAATACATGCATTCAACAGTGGCAGACTACTAAAGAGGAAGTCTGCATCAGATATTCCAACTTCGCCATCAATCAACAACAACAACAACACAGCTTCACCAACAGCGGCAACAACAAGACAACAAAATCATCATCAACATCACAGCATATTCAATAGCAACTCACTTTTGGACATTCTAGAGGAGATGCACGACATCCTTCGTCAGAACTATGTGCATTCGAATCTTGTTGGACAATTCTTTTCACAGGTGTTCTTCTTCACCAACGCGCTCCTTTTGAACAGCCTCAACTCGATTCATGGTCTCTGCAGCACTGCCAATGGCTTCCAGATGAAGATAGAGATCTCCAAGGTACAGGACTGGGTGGCACAGGTCAACCTGACAGAGTCAATCGTTCAGATGCAACAGATGATCGAAGTGACCAATCTGCTCGTGATGGACAAGAAGTTGATATCCGATGCCGACGTTTTGGAACAAGTGATACCATCGATGCAACCGCATCATGTCAAACATCTGCTCACTCTATTCCAAACGGATCAGATCAATAGTGATCCCATACCATCTGGACTGTCCAAGGCAATCGACCAAATCATTAACAAGAGTGGTGAACAATCACCGCAGACATTCGACATTGATCTGACCTACATGAACCAACTCTCATTGGACTTCCTCAAAGACTCTAGCTACAGGGCATCAGACAGGAGGGACACTGCTGGACGAAACAATGCCCCCACCAACACAAGGAGGTAATGACCAATTTCAAAATAAAGTACTGTCGCGCGCCCTTTTCACCTGTTCCAAAGAACGAGAACTCCAAAACAGTGTTCAAGCCGTTATTGGCCTTAATTAATTTATTGTATCACCAATATTTATAATATATATATATAACTACATAACAATGACAACAATTATAAGACCTGAATTAGATATGAACCTTTTCACTGGTGTCACACTATTTGATGATGACTCCAGTACTGAGGACCATGACCAATCTAGTAGTAGTACTACAACCAATGAATCAGTAAACACAACACCATCCGAGAGGATGAAGACATGGTTCTATGATCATTATCATACGTTGTTTACCTACCACCAACAACGAAGGGCAAGATTGTCCGAGCTAAAGACTGAATTGGCTGGCGAGTCTAGGTCACCCCCCTCATCTCCTCTCTCTCGTGACGACAAGAAGAACATGGAACATGAACACCATGTCAAAGAGACCTCTTATCTACGAATGCTTCGCAAGACCACTCAGAAGGACTTTGAACCATTGTTCATCTACTCATCATACAAGAAGGATGGCGCCAACAATAACAACAATAATATTGCCAAGAAACAGACACCCAAAGGCAAAAACAACAAGAACAACCGAAGGAATGAGACATTCACAGCTGCATCACCAGAGTTGAACAAGGCCAATAACAACAACAACTCACAGATGACAACTCCAGTCAGATCAATCAGTCAACAACATTCCACTCCAATCACACCATTCAATCACAACAATTCCGCAGTACCAAACACTGTTGTACATACATCAAGATCTCCACTTTCATCACCTCCAACATCGCCATTCATTTCCAATGACAACTTGATGGAGCATTTCAATGGTGGAACATTCAGATTGTCAGAGCATGCTACAAAGGCAGGCGTTCGCTTCAGTGCCGACACTGACAGTATTCCATCACCATCATCGTCATCTGCGTCAGGTGACGGTGAGTTCAATTTGGATCGTTCAAACATGCGTCGCACAAAGAGTATCTCAAGCATCAACAAGTCCAAGCCACGTGGCTCCAACGTCAACCTTCCAGCAACGCCACAGACACCCAAGAACAAGTCCTACACAATGATGTTCAAGCTTGACCCAAAGACCAAGTTGGAGCAGGCAGAGAAGCTGCTGCAGGAGAAGGAAGAGGATACCAGAGTGGCTGCAGAGATTGGAAAGACACTACTTGAGAGAAACAATGAGCTGGAGGATGAGATCAAGACACTCAAGTATCGCAATCACGACCAGGCCGATCAGATAACGCGACTGAAGGTGGTCCTGAATGACAATGACCGTCTGCGCACTGACATCATGCTCCTGACATCCAAGGTGGATTCTGCAATGAAGGAGAACCAGTTGCTGAGCTCCAGGGAAGCCTCCCTGCAAGATCAGTTGGATCAGCAACAGCTATGGCTACGCACAGAGTACTCTCCTTTGAAGGCCAAGACCATCAATCAACAACTCCACGAGATCCAGTTACTCAAGATGAACGTGGAGCACTTACAGTCATCTGAGGACAAGCTCAAGAAGAATAGGGATCGATTGGCGCATCAAAACGAATCGCTGAGCAACTCTGTTGCTGACCTGCAGAACGCCCTGGAGGATAAGGTGGACCAAGAAAGCTATGATGCCATGAAGCTCAAGGTCAAGGTACTGCGCGACAAGAACAAAGATCTCAAGCAACGTTTGAAGGAGATGGGCAACACAAGCATGACATTGGCCAGTGAGCCAGAGGCCATCATCAAATCTGCCTTCCAGGAGCTGATCAAGAATGAAGAGTTACTGGCTACCATTCCCCAGGTGGCCAACCTCCGTATTCTCTCTGATGCCAAGATACTCTTGCGTAGAGTGGAGTCTGAGATATCTACTCAAGGTGATTGTTCATTGATTGCTGCCCTATTCAAGTATCTGGACAATGAACAACAACAACAACAACAACAGCAGATTGAACCCATCAACAACCATTCATCCTTCCTCAATGAATCCTTTGAATCAACCACAGAGGTATCAGATCCAAAGTCTGCTCTATACATGGTATGTATTTTTGTTGTCAGCAGCCTTAACAATGAATGCACCAACTAATACATCCATCACTACAACACTGATCTAGTTGATATGCATCGTATCGATATACAAGTACACCAACTATGACAAGAAGAAGTTGGAGAGTGAGAGCAATCTGATTGATGAGCTGGACAGTCAAGTGGAGACACTCAAGAGAGTAATCGCCAATCTGGAGTACGACTTGGGTGAGGCAAAGAGCTTGAACCTGAAGCTCGAGGAGGACATTGGCCAGCTCAAGACACCCCAGCCTCATGTCCTATCCTTTGCCGATGAACTAAAGTCTGCCTTCCACTCTGACAACCATGACAAGAGTTTGGAGGAGTTGCGCAAGGAGCACGACCAACAGATCACACAGCTCAATCAACAACATCTATCCGATTCACTCGAGTTGGAATCACTCCGACATCAGTATGAGAAGGTGACACAACTCTTGGAGCAGCAGCAACGAGAGAACAAATGTCTACTCGAGTCTGCTGCAGAGAGCACTCGCAACCAATTGGATCAGCTTGATGCCAAGCTTAGAGACAACACAGACATCTGGAGAACCCGTTTGGATTCAGAGTTACTGCAAAAGGACACTGAGCTACAACGTCTATACACCGAGCTTGAGCAGACCAGGAAGGACGCAGTTGAGAAGGAAACTCTTGTCCAGCAATTAACCAAACAGCTGGACGACCAGGATCAATCCATCATCCAACGACAGTGCAGTGAGAAGGTGGCCATGGACAACATTCTCGACCAACTCAGAAACACACAACAAACAATGGAGGGTCAGGCATCTCAGATTGGTCAATTGGAGGACAAGTGCACGCTACTTACCAAATCAAATGAGGAGCAGAACCATTCGATAGTGATGCATCTCTCGACTATCCAGATGTTGAAGCAGGATGTAGTGACACTGAGAGATTGTAGTGGTCAGTTGCAAGATCGTATGGACACATTCAACAATGCCGTGGAGACAAACCTTTGCCATCTGCTTACCAGGTTCAAATCGACTGAGGACAACCTCGATCAGCTACCTGCCAAGGTTGATGCGCTACTACAACGCATCAAACAACTTGAGAATGACCATAGGGTACTCCAAGACACCAACGTCAGTTTGATCCGTGCTGCAGAGTCTATGGTTGTGGAGCACAACGACCAACAGCACAAATCAGTTGCATTACTTCAAGAGAAGCTTGATCAATCAGTCAAACAGAGCATTGAGATGAAGGCAGAGTTGGATGTACTGATGGCAAGCGTACAGACAGAGAGAGATGGCAATGCTGCATTGGTGACAGAGAACAACACACTCAAGCAGAACATTGGAGAGATGAGACGACAGTTGGACCAGAGAAACAAGGAACACCGTCTATCAGTCAAGGAGCTATCACAGCAACTCACTGAAATGATGGAGTTTGTTAGAAAGCAAAAGGAAGAGGAGGACAACACACAGAGCATGGTGGAGGTGCCCAGCGACAGTTTGACAAAGGACTACCACTTTGAGGAGGAGCTACCATTGATCCAGTTCATCAATCAACGACTGAAGCCATGTGAGGAGATCAAGCATGTCTTCCCAATCGATCCCAGTAAGCACATCCTTCACTCTTTCTACGACGGTGTGCTCATGTGCAAACTGGTCAACTTTGCTCGTGAAGGTACGATCGACGAGCGTGTCATCAACATGAAGCCCAAGAGAAGCATCGAAGTGGACCAGAACTTCAATCTGGTGGCCAACTCTGCCAGAGCCATTGGATGCATCATCCAGAACATATCACCACAGACCATTAGACAAGATCCAAAGGTGACCATCATGATGATCAATCAATTGGTACGAGTTCATCTAGAGTCCACAATCACTGTGGCCAACTATCCCAATCTCTGTCTTCTCAAGTCATCCGACGAGGACATCAAACATTTTGTCGCTCAGAGTGCTTCACAACTTCTTCAACGATGGATCCATTATCAATTGGAGATTAGCAACAACAACCACAACAACAAAGACAAGACCAAGACCTCTACATTCGAGGAGTTGATACTTGTAAGTAGTGAGACAACATATACATTCTGTCATGGAATCCATTTATCACTTACATCATCATTCATTAGGATCCAAGCAATTGTATCAAGTTACTCAAGAAGCTCCTTCCTGAGCACTCAACCGATGTGTGTCCAGACCAAGCGGACAATGTATACAAATGGTTCATCCAAGAGACATCGACCAAGATGAACATATTCCCATGGCTATCTGTTGATTCAATGAAGAACGTAAGTCCTACCACTTAGAATTGCCAACAACAATCACATTCTCACTCTGACACATCCAAACTCTTTAGAGGAACCTCAAGCTAGCACATCTATTCGTGGCTAGCTTCTTCCTGGCAATCAAGGATATTGGCATCAGACTGGAGGCAAAGGACAAACAGGTCACTCTATCCTTTGTTAAGGAACTCTCTGACCTTGCCGACGTCGAGGGAACCAGGGAGGAAAGAGCCTTTTGCATGTGGATCAACTCCCTTAACCTAACTAGATATGTAAACAATCTTCAACAAGACTTGCAAGATGGTTTGATCATTCTACAGGTAAGTTATGGACAAACATTCAGTCTGTTCTCCGCTCACTAACTCACTCACATACTCCTACAATGATGTCATCCACAGATGTTTGACAAGATCAAGACAGGTGTAGTGAACTGGAAGATTGTCAACCAAAACCCAACCAACAGCTACAAGATGAATGAGAATTGCGATATGGGCATTGACATTGCCAAGAAGCTCAAGTTCTCACTGATTGGCATTGGGGGTAGCGATATTAACGCTGGAAATCGTAAGCTCACACTTGCATTGATCTGGCAGGCATGTAAATATCATCTATTGTCCATTCTTCAGAGTCTACGGGCGAGTGGATCGAACCGCGACGTCACAGAGTCAGACATCATTAGATGGGCCAACCAAAAGGTCACCACCATTGGCAAGTGCAGTGGCATCACGTCGTTCAAGGACAGTAACATTGGCACTGGACTGTTTTTGGTTGACCTACTCGAGTCAATGTCACCAGGCTGCATCAACTATTCAGTGGTCACCAAGGGTGACAATGCCAATGATCGCAAACTCAATGCTCAGTACATCATCAACATTGCACGTAAACTGGATTGCTGTATCTTCCTTGTTTGGGAAGACATTGTTGAGGTGAATCAGAAGATGATTCTCACACTTGTTGCTCAGCTCTACATCAAGAGTGAGATTTCAAATTTAATTAAATAATAATAATAATTAATGTGTAAATTTTTATCAATTTGATCACATGACATCGATCTTGATCGGGCGATAAGAATCTGATCGTTTGCTTTCTTTGAAAGTACCACCAAACCATTTCGATCACCCAAAACAATTCAAAGGATGGGAATCAAAAAAAGATCTGGAACAGTGAATGATGAGTTTTTATGAAAGTTGTTAAGTAAACAGATAAAGGATAGATATATATTTAATAGAGATAGATGGCACCACAAAAGAAACGCAATAAGAAGAATACCTCAAACTTAAAGGTCAATGGCAATAACAGCAGTGATTTACTCAACACATCGCTAGGTGGTGGAACAGATGATGAGTGCTCATCTCCAACATCATCATCGCCCTCATTGGACACCTCCAGCAACATGGACCATGTTGTTGACGTAGCTGTACCTAATACAGTTACCGATACCATTGAGGTGGAGCCTGACGAAATTACCTCTTCTCCAGAAGTGATTGAACAACCACTGATTGAGGTGACACATCAACAAGAGCAACACCAACAACCTACAGTACAGGACGGAGACAACTCAGTACTTCTTGAAAAGATGTACTCAATGTTGATTGGCCTTACAGACAATGTTACCGACATCAAGGAGAGAGTGACCTGCATCCAGTCCAATGGTGTACAAACTACATCGCCATCATCAGTCGAGACCAGAATGCTCCGTAGTGACAGTATCACCAGCAATGGAGGTGATTTTGACCCAACAGACTGGAAGTCAATGTACTTGGCAGTATCTCAACAATATATGATGGAACAAAAGAAGGTGGAAGATTTGGAGATCCAACTCAAGGAGGTGGGTCATGAGAACATTCTCCTGACTGAGCGTGTCAAGGCCCTGGAGAATCACGTTGAGTCCGAGAAGAAGAAGCTACATAAGACATTTGGTACGATCCGATCGAGTGCCAAGAAGCTCACGGTTAAGATGGGCAGAGGAAATGTTGATGTGTCTGACATTCTGGAGGAGATGAGACGTGATATCGACAACACCTCAAGTGGTGTATTGGACCAAAAGGTTCTAAACGCTGATGCCCTCTTGACCAAGCTGAACAGCTTCCCATCATCCGCATCAAGCACATCACTTCTACAGCAACAACAGCAACAGCAACAACTACAACAACAACACCAACAACCAGTACAAACAAGCACCGATACAGATTCAATCATTTCCGATGTAACAACGACTGATGATATATCTCTTGTTGAGGAATCAGCAACACTTCCAGTCACAGATACCAAAACAACCAACCTTGAGCAACAACAAACTGACATAACTACTGCCGTTGATATTGCTGCCAACACTTCAGACGAGTCCAAACAAGACAACAACAATGACTTTACTGGCACTGACCTCAAGAAATTGATAAAGGTACAGGCATGTGCAAAGAGATGGTATGCACGCCAACAATTCAAGAGACTAAGTAAGTAGAATAGTCTGAAGTGATAACCAACCAACCATGTCTCTAACTTGATAAATTAAACAAACAGAGAAGAAGAGATTGGCAGTACAGGAACTATTTGAAACAGAGTCAACATATGTCTCGCATCTGTCCAACCTCCTCAAGATATTCGTGTCGCCACTCAAGATGAAGAGTCAGAATGGTGAGGCCATCATAGGTCTGAACGATATTGAGAGGATATTCTCCACAGCCAACATCATCTTCAAGAGTAACTCCATATTCTTGAACCAAATGGAGGACATGTACAGGAACTTTAGCAAGTGGTCAGAGCTTGGTGGTCGTATGTTGGAACAACTGCCACTGTTCGAGTCCTACATCGAGTACATCATCAACTTTGAGAGTGCACAGACCTCACTCAAGAAGGCCATGACCTCGAGCAACTTTGCCAGCTTTGTCAAGACGGCCGAGTCCAACGCCCAACTCGGTGACCTTGACCTCCACGACCTGCTGATTATGCCAGTGCAAAGGATACCGCGCTATATCATGTTGATTCACCAGATCAAGAAGTTCACACCACTGTCTCATCCAGACTATCTTCCTCTCACACTGGCCGAGGATGCCTTCAAGAAGTTTGCCGATGGTATCAACGACCGAAAGGGAATGAGGATCAAGGTGCTCCAGTTTGAGGAGAAGATCATTGGCTACAAGGAGGATCTCACTGCAAAGTCAAGATATCTGATCAGAGATGGTCCATTGCGCTACAAGAAGACAACGGAGCATGTATTCCTCTTTAACGATATGCTGATGGTGTGTCATCCACAGGTGAAGAAGACAAAGACCAAGCTTGGATCAATAAGTGTCAGCTCATCGCTCGCCACCACATCCAGTAGCACATCACTATCACTTGGTGCGAAATACCAGGACAACAGCATTGGTGGCGGCAACAGTCCCACCCTAAGTCCAACACCATCATCACCGACACATGAAGATGGCTACACTACCACGTACAAGTTCATCACAAGAGTTATGCTAGACTCACGTGTCAAGATTGTCCAGGATGGTGTAGATCCCAAATGTAAGTATCGACAATATTTATTTATGTCGTTGCTGTTTAAATATATCAACTACTAACAAACACCTTCAACATGTCGTAGTCTTGACAATTATTCCAGATATATATTCCTTGGAACTTGCGGCATCCTCGAATGAGGAGAGACAACTGTGGGTCAAAGACTTGATCACATTGGTGACGATATTCAACAACAACCTTATCAACAATCCATCAACTGGTCATGCATTGGTTCCGCACAACAACTAAGCATCCAAGCGACACCCTTTATGTAATACTATTATAATAATAATCATATATTTATATTTATAGAATGCAATAACATTCATTGTGCACTTAATACTCAATGCCTGGATATTCCTTAATGGCTCCCGCTTTCCAACTCGTTCATCTCCTTCATGAACGCTTCGTAGCCTTCATCCAACTCTTCCTCTGACTTTGGTTGTGGCGGTGACTGTTGTTGTTGAGTATCCTCCTTTTCCTTCTTTGACTCTAAAGACGATGGTTGAGTTTGTGTTGTTGTAGTTGGTGCCGGCAGTTTCTTGACTGGTGCTGCAGGCTTCATTCTCTTTAGGTTTGGGTTGATTATAATAGGCTCCTCTTCTTCTTCTTTTGGCTTCTCTACAGTGGCCTCTTGGTTTGCAAATAGAAGTTGTGGTGGCAATGGGGGAGGCGGCATCATCATTGGCATGCCTGGCATCATTGGCGGCATGCCTGGCATCATTGGCGGCATGCCTGGCATCATTGGCGGCATGCCTGGCATCATAGGTGGCATACCCGGCATCATAGGCATGCCTGGCATCATCGGTGGCATACCCGGTATCATCATAGGCATGCCTGGCATCATAGGTGGCATACCTGGCATCATCGGTGGCATACCTGGCATCATCGTCGGTGGGTATGGCATTGCACTTGGAGGTCCTATTGGATAGACATTCGTCTCAGTATTCATCAAGTTGATCAAACATAAGTTGTTCAACATTACTTACTCTTGGCAGGTGACTGTGGAGGTGGTGTTGGTCTGCCTGCTGGTGACTGTGGAGGTGGTGCAGGTCTATACTGAGCCCCTGTCTGTGTCGGCTTGCTCTCTGATAGATGATCTGTACCTCCTGTGGCCACACCTCGTTTTTCTAGTACACCCATCAGTAGTGCTCGCTGCTGTTTGTCCTTCTCAGAATGACCGAGTCGTCTTAGTTCACCTTTAACCTCCTCAATGTCTTTAGTTAAGTATATCCTTTCCTTCGCCTTTTGTTTATCTTGTTTATGCTATACAGTGCAGTGAGTGAGAGAGTGCAACAATACACCAGTCAGATGGAGTTGGTGTACACTAACTTACCTTATGTCCCTCTCGTTTCTTTTGCTCTTTCCTATACACCTCCATAGGATTTGAAGACTTTCCTTCTTTCTTTCCCATGATTGCTTCAAACGTAGTAGCTGTAGTATTAGTAGTTGAAGTAATAAAGATAGTTGTTGTACAATGATCGTTTAGGGGTGATCGTGATCATTATTTATTGAAGTACGAAATCGAGATTGTTTGGTTGATAACCTTCTTCAGATAAAGTGAACTTGTTGTCTGCTAACCATGACTTGCTGTACAATCGACTTGTATATCGATGACCAGAGTCACAAAGAACTGTGACGATAGTCTTGCCTGGTCCTAGCTTTCTTGCCAACTTCACAGCACCAACACAATTCAAAGCACTCGATCCACCGAGGAACAGTCCATCATTCTGCAATAGATAATGAGCCATATCTACACCTTCCTGTTCAGTGCCCAGGAATGCGCCATTAAGTACTGCCTTTGCAAAGTTCTCTGTCTTTCTGTTTACTCCAACACCCTCGTAGAATGACCTAGGACCAAACTTATCGACCACAAGTCTGTCCCTAACGTCGAATATCACTCCAGTGTTGACTAAACTGTATAGTCCTGAACCAGGTGGATCAATTAGCCATGTTGATATTGTTGAACACTATTGATTGATTGATGAAGTCCAATTAGCAAATAATATATGGAGGTTGTCCTGTCAGTATACACATACTCTTGATTTAAGATAGTTTGATATGCCAGCTACTGTACCACCAGTACCAGCGGCACAGACGAAACCATCAATGTTACCATTGGTCTGTTGCCATATCTCCTTGGCAGTTCCATAAAAGTGAGCATTGAAGTTGGACACATTATCAAACTGATTGGCATAGAATGTCTGTTTATCCACAAGACATCGTTGATATGCACAATGCATAAAGTGTGATGCATTGTTCATTCCAACTATTGGTACTATCTATATATCTGTATTAGAGTCACTAACTAACTAACCAACCAAGCTAACAAACAAACAAACAACAGAGATACATACATTTATCTTTGCACCCAACATTTCCAACAGATCCACCTTCTCCTTTGATACATTATCTGGTATGTATAGTTCAACATTGTAACCTCTAGCTTTACCAAACATTGTGAGCGATATACCAGTGCTGCCAGCAGTTGCCTCTACGATCGTAGTATGACCTGGTTTCAATAGACCACTCTTCTCTGCATCCAATATGATACCCTTGGCCACTCTGTCCTTTGGACTGCCACCTGGATTCATAAACTCTGCCTTGCCCAATATCGTACAACCAGTAGCCTTTGACAAGCTCTCTATCTTTATGAGCGGTGTCTTTCCCACTGTATCCAACAGACCGTCTGATACACAAGGTCCAAATAGTGAATGTTGTTGTTGTCTTTGTTGTTGTTGTTGTTGTTGTTGCAACTTGTCATCATTCTCTACATTTTCATCTTGATGAGTCTCTCCATCATCTGTGTCCACCTCATAGAATACTCTCTTTAGTCTATTCAACATTCTATCACTATCTATATCTCTGTTGCAACTTGTGGCACAATAAATAAACGAATGAAAGTGAGAAATTCACACATGAGACTCTCTTGCTCTACTCGAGTAGAGACAATCATTTATGATGGAGGGAATGGTGGGATTACACCTGGATTGAAGTTGACCAACGAGAGTGTCACTGTCTCCAAGTCCAAGTCCAGCATATCCTCGATGAATTGTGCAACATCAATGTTCTCTACGTTGGCATGCAGTTTCTCAACCAATGCCTGCTTGAGATCGCTGTCGTCTCCAGAGTAGTATGAGTATAGGTTGACGTCCACTCCAGTGTGTCCGGTGGTTGTGAAGCCGATCAAAGCACGCTGTGACATAAAGCGGCCGAGGAAGTAGGCGAATGAGCTGTTGCTGTTTTGGCTCCAGAACGATTGCAAGAGGTCCAGCTCTCCCGTGGTGAAGTTGTAGGGCGACTGGTCCCAGTTGCCTGGCGTGTAGTACTTGTTGACTACCGAGTTGATCACCGAGATGTTGGTGGCGGCGCTGGCGCCCGTGACATTCGTTGCAAAGATCTCCTTCCCCATAGTGGCGGCAGAACCGGTGAAGTTGAGCAGCACATCCGGCAGCCACCTGTAGGTTGGGTAGACATGCGGGTCGGGCTGGAAACCCAGCGTGAGGCCCCCTGTCTCGTGGTCGGCCGTGGCCAGAACCAGGGTGTTCTTGTCTTTGGCTGCAAACTCTAGCACCGTGTTGAAAGTGTCGTCAAAGTTGAGTGTCTCGTAGATCTGTGTGGCCGCGTCATTGCTGTGGCCGGCCAAGTCGATCTTGGCACCCTCGACCATGATGATGAAGCCATGCTCGTTGTCCTGTGCCAGCAGCTCCAGTGCCTTGATGGTCATATCCTTGAGCGAAGGGATCTCTGTCATGTTCTGGTTGATCCTGTCAATGTCGTAGGGGAGGTCGTGGGGAGTAAACAAGCCGAGTATCTTGCCCTTGGTGACGCCGAGCATGTCTGTGCGGTTGTTCACTATAGTATATTGGTTGGCAAGTGCCATGTCCATCAAGGTTTGGTTAAAGAACTGCGATCCACCTCCCAGCGCCACAGTGAGGTCTTTGTCCATCATCTGCGCGGCGATGAAGCCCTCGGTCTTGCGTGTTGTAGAGTGGGCGTAGAAACAGGCTGGCGTGGCATCTGTGACGCGAGTTGTGGTGATGACACCTGTGCGCATGCCCTTAATTCGGGCAGCCTCAAAGAGCGTTCCAACTGGTTTGTAGTTGTGGTCGACGCTGACGGCGTCATTGTTGGTGTGGTAGCCAGTGGCGTAAGCAGTGGCGCCAGCTGCCGAGTCGGTCACATCGCTGCTGTACGATGCGGTGCGCACGGTGCCGACAAGGTGGGCATCCAGTTTGAGTGGCATGAAAGGAACGCCATTCATGTGGGCCTGGGCAAGGCGAGCCATTGTCGCGGCAGCCGGACCAAAGCCATCGCCAATCATGATAATGACGTTGAGTGGGCGGTGAGTCTTGTGCTTTGGTACCAACAAACCTATTATAAGACCGAGAGCCAGCAGCACCACTACACATACTCCTCCGATCATTAACCATCTCTTTAATCTCTTCTTCCTCTCATATTTCTGTGGATCACTAATGTATGTATCGATGGGCCGGATAGTGAGATTGTAAGCATACGCTTCATGTTGGACTAGACGACTCTCTGCAGTTCTTACAATTCATCTTCCAAGAGGAAGGTACCAGGAGAAGTGTCCATCTTGCACTAAGTAGATGGATTGGTAAGATATATATATATATATATGTATGTGTATAAGTAGTAGTAGTAGCAGTAGTAATAGTTGTAGTTGATTGAAACAACTGCCGTTGGGCGTTGAGAATCCGAATAAGACCCACCCCCAACAGACCCGAAAGAATCCTCCAACTCCTTTTTGAGGCAGATCGGAGTTATGTTGAACATTCATTACCGTGTAGGAAACTGATATTGGGTGTCAGGTAAGAAGTTCATAGGTAGAAGACCAGCTTGCATACTAGGTCTATCTCTAAAGATGATATCACTATCATACACTATCCAAAAGACAGTAGGACTTCTTTTTTTAGGTTGCCAAGGTTCCTTGGTTGGTGATGCCAATGATAATATACTGTCTATGTTACTCTATTCATTGTTGGTTGATAGAGTTGAAACTAAACACTCAGATAAACTTAGCATTAATAATAGAATGAGTCTAGTCGAGTGTGAAACAAATACACGAAATATGATCATATTTCATTCGTCTTTCTGAAATAATCACAGTAATAATAATAATAATGGATACGAGTAACGATAACAACAAGAGAACGATAGATGAATCCTGTTCAACTGATCAACCAACAATCAGCAGCACAACACAATCAGAAGATCAACCAATTGCATCAATAGTAGAAGGAACGAATGACACAACAACATCAGCAGCAGCAGCTCAGTCAAAGAAACTAAAGACTAACACCACCCAAGTCGAAGAAGATGAAGAAGAGTCTGGAGGTGATGACGATGGTGGCGAAGACTTTGATGATGAGAAGCAAAAGCCAAGGGGACGTGTTGCTCCACCAATGCTGACCAAGGAGCAGTTGATCGAATTGCAGACGCCACACAAGATCACAACAGCTGACACCAAGAAGAAGAAGGTTGTCATTTGTGTAGGTTACTCTGGAACAAATTACAAGGGAATGCAAAAGTATGTACAACCATATGATATACTAGTAGTGTCCTCTCTTTCTCTATCCTCTAACACATTCACATTCACAATCAGGAACCCTGGATGTCCAACCATTGAGGAGGAAATGGAGAAGGCAATCTTCAAGGTGGGTGGCATCACCCCAGACAACATGTACAGTCACAGGAAGATCGATTGGATCAGATGTGCCAGAACTGACAAGGGTGTGTCCGCTCTGAGGAACATGGTCTCGTGCAAACTAGAGTATGATCCACCCACTTTGGAAGAGATGAAGGATGCGATCAACAAGCAGTTACCATCAGACATCCACATCTTTGGCATCAAGCGAGTGAACAACACATTCCACGCCAAGAACTGTGTCGATCGCAGACAATACGTCTACATCACACCGACCTTCTCCTTTGAGCCAATCTACGCCACCAACCGACCAGCCACATTCAAGTTTGACGAGAAGGAGCGTGAGAGAGTTAACAATGTCCTCAAGCTATTCCTTGGAACACACAGATATCACAACTACACCTCCAAGAAGGAGAGCAACGATCCATCTGCCGTCAGAACAATCAATTCATTCGAGGTAAGGTTATACTTGTTGCTGATTTTGATACAACATATCCCCTCTAACTCGCGAACTCACTAGTGTACAGAACCATTCGTACTGGAAGGCATTGAGATGGTTGCGCTGAACATCACAGGACAGAGCTTCATGTTGCATCAGATTCGTAAGATGGTTGGTGTCACTATGCAGTTCTTGCGCAAAGGCTACTACTATGATATGGCATCGGAGGAGGAGGCCATCGAGACGATGAGGAAGCAGGTCGAAGCCACATTTGCACACAAGCAATTCAACTTGCCTATGGCGCCAGGTGCCGGTCTCTTGTTGGATCGTTGTCTGTACGAGATATGGACACAGAAGTTTGGCAGTGTGCATGGCGATCTGCTGTTTGACGACAACAAGGCCGAGATCGACGCCTTCAAGTATGGCACGGTGTACAAAGAGATTGCAGACTTTGAGGCCAAGCAACAGCTGTTCACCATTTGGTTCAAAGAGTGTTTGGATCCATACCCATTGCCCTTCAACGATTTGATAGAGACCTTTAACAATCCACCACCTGCGCCCCCAAGAAAGAGACAACAGCAAAAGGGTCCAAGAGATCGTGTGCCACACTATCGTCAAATTAAGTATTTGGGAAGACCTGATGAGAACAACACTACTACAACTACTACAACTACGACTATGGCTACCGCTACCTCCACTGCCAATCAATAATATATATTATGTGTTGTTGTTGTTGGACAAGTTGATCAAACTGGAAGGATGGATGAATGGTCGTTTCCAACTTCGAGTCGATTTTTTTATTTTGTTTTTTCAGTAGAAAGCTCTAATGGTGAAGGATGTTGACCACAACAACAAACATCCACAGAGATATTGTTTTAATCATACATACTTACATACATACATATAATATATATACATAGACAACAAACAACAATGTTGAGATCAAAGGTTATTCCACAGGTGTTGCAACAGGCTATCAACGGAAATGATGTAAAGGGTGTATTGTATGTGTCATTTATTCCTTTGATTTAGAACTACTCCTACTAGTTTTAGATCTCTTTAGCGTCAACAAACAATGTGTCTCTATTCAGCGTCATCATCAACAACATAGATTTAACACAATATAACGTTGATTACAACCCATTTCTAGATTAATGAAAGACGATGGATCACTCATTGCATGCGCAGAGGCACCAAACACTGATCACAGCACATCAAAGATCGTCTCTGCCATCTCATCTAGTATATTCTCATCATATGAACGCAATGATGACCTCCAGTATCAACTCATTGATTGTGAAGTATGTGTAATCAACAGTGGAGTGTGACACAGCATAGAACAACAACAAACAGACATCTCACTCCATTCTATCATTCAAACACTCATAGGATGGCAGACTCGTTGTTACAAAGGTAGCCAAGCTGCTGCTCTGTATATATGCTGACACATCGATCGAATTCGGATTCCTCAAGATTAAAGCCCAGAAGCTTCGCGAATACCTGGAGGGTCCACTTGAGCAGGTCGAGCAGGTTTAGGTTCATGAACAGCAGGGACATCAGGCATCAGTTAGTGTCTGCCTCTTGTCAGTACACAATAAAGTACTAGAAGTAGCGATCATCTAACGTTAAAGTTCATTACAAACAGGTTGGACTGTTGTGTCAATCATGGTGGAACATAAGTGGCTTAAGTTATACTTCTAATGAAATGCTTTATTACAAGTGATTGTTCGTTGACTACTCTATCCCAATCGTAGATCTAACATATTATGGTGTGCCACACTGCTTGCTGTTGTTGAACAACAGTTGGCATTGTTACGTTTGGTTGCCTGGTAGAAGGTTAAATACAAGAGGTGCTGGTTGGTTGGTTGGTTGGTTGGTTGGTTGGTTGGTTGGTAATGATTGATGAATGAATGAATGAATGACGATATGGTCGTCGTCGACGTTGTTGTTGATGTTATGGTGAGATGATATTGATGAATGAAGATAATAAAGGAACTGTAATGTACCTGATAACTTGTTCGAGTTTCCAAGTCATTGGTCCAATCGACCTGGCACCATTAAGGTGTTCAAGTGATGTTGCGCAAAGTTGGTTTGATTGATTGATTGTTTGTTTGTTGGTATTGTTGTTGTTGTTGTAGTTGTAGCAGGTTGTTAATAAAGAGAGTAATCGGCGTTATGATGTATGAGTATGTATGTTGTAGACATCATTCAGATGAACACTCAACAACAACATATTAATATTCCAACAGTGGCTCGCCAACGTTTGTAATCTTTGGTATGGTGCAGTTGAGATCGAATGCTTTGCTGATGACGATCTTGAATATCTTTTGAACGTTGATCGAGTGCGCCGTAGAACAGAAGATCAATGGTGACTTCATAGCACTAGCAAACTTACGTGCCTATATCATATGTTGTTGTTGTTGTTAGTATAACTGAACGTCAATCAATCAATCAATCAAACCCTGAAACCTTACCTGTTTAGTAATCTCCTCTTGATCTTCAGCTGGTAGTGTTACAAATACATCGAACTTTGTTCCGATCAAAAAGGGAATGGCAGTCTTGTTGAAGCCACGAGCCTGTCTATACCATTCCTTGACACTGTTGAGTGTTGACTTTCTCGACAGATCAAACATAAACAGTATGGCAACGGCGTCATTGCACACTAGGGGCAGCATGTTGACAAACTCTCTCTGACCACCGAGATCCCAAATGGAGAATGTGATCTCTGTGCCTCTGATCGAGATGGTCTTCTCCATAAAGTTGACACCGAGCGTCTGAATGTAATCCTCGTCAAAGGTGCCCTCGACGTACTTGACCATCAGTGATGTTTTACCGATCTGACTGTCGCCAACCATTCCAACCTTGACCACAACATTATTCTTCTTGTCACTTGATGCTGCTGTGAATTGCTCGTCCATTGTTTGTTTCTGTAGTTTATAAATATATGTAGTGTTTATGTGTAATAATGATGATAATGATGATGTATATGTTATACGTGATGTTGTATGTCTCTCTCTCTCTCTCTCTCTCTCTCTGTAAATAATGTCACAACAACAAGTATGGGGCGATAAGTAAGTAAATGGTCAGAGTGTCTTGGTCTTTTCTTGAAGGGTGAGTACACTCTCCAAACACACCAATTAAAAAAATTATTTGAAAGTGTTTGTCAAAAAACAACAACAACAAGCTCTCAAAACTCTCTCCACATCAACGAGCGCCAATCTGTTTGGGGTATCTGATTGACTGATTGTATAGAAGGACATGGCAAAGAATCAATTATCCGGATAATGAATCTTAATCATTGTCAATGAAAATGGTCCTCATTATATTTATTTATATGTTTACCTATTTATTACTTTTAAAGTATCTTATTGTCTTTTGAGGTACTGATCAGAAATTAAAAAGGTTTGCTCATAGGGTTGCAAAGAGAACCCAAAATCGCGATCTAAGTGGGTGAATTAACAAATAAGAGAGAGATTTTTTGTTTGCTTCTAATAACGCCAGTAGTAATAGTTGTCATAGACCTTTTCCAATGCTGCAACCAACTGTTATGAATGAATGATTATCATACTTATGTATCACATCCATTCTTCATTCAAATCATTTACTACTTGTATTACTAAATTTATATAAATATAATATTTATAACACTTTGGATCAAATATAATTGTAATAATAGTCATATAAATATAAATCACATAATAACTTTAATATTTACATATATATATATAAATAAGTCATAGAGATGAGTGAAATTGAACAATTCTTTAGCAATAGGGTATCAAAAGATGACCCAGAGTTGATTTTCCAAATCGTAGAGGTTGTTGGAAGTGGAAGCTTTGGAACTGTGTGTGCTTGTAGGTGGATGAAGAAAAAGGATCGTGATCAGAATGGCAATCGTCTGATCGCTTGCAAGTTTGTAGAGGTCACTGCTGAGGACATCGAGACAAACACCAATCTGGTCAAGGAGATCGATATTCTAAGAGAGTCCATAGACTGTCCATTCATTGTCGAGTACAAGGGCTGCTACCTAAAGTCATCCATGCTGCTCATCGTCATGGAGTACTGCAAGGGTGGCTCACTGCTGGACATCATAGAGCTGTGCGGCAAGCGTCTGACCGAGGATGAGATCGCCGCCGTCTGTGCCGGTGTAGTCAAGGGTCTGGTCTATCTTCACTCAAAGAGAACCACTCATCGTGACATCAAAGCTGGAAACGTACTGCTCGACGAAGAGGGACTGCCAAAGCTGGCAGACTTTGGAGTGTCAACCATTGCCGAGCACGGTCAAAAGATGAAGACCGTGATTGGATCACCCTACTGGATGGCACCGGAAATCATCATGGGTCAAGGTTACGACCAAAAGGCAGACATTTGGTCACTCGGTATCACAGCAATAGAGATTGCTGAATCAGTTCCACCTCGCTTCGACATCCCACCATCACGTGTCATCTTCACCATTCCACACCAGCCACCTCCCACTCTCAAGTCGCAGACCGAGTGGTCGCCAGAGTTCCACGACTTTGTCAAGATATGTCTTTCGATGAATCCCGCCTCGCGACCATCGGCACAGCAGCTGCTGAGCCATCCATTCATTCTCAAGGGATCGTCGTCCCAGATCTTACAGAACCTGGTCGGAGAGTGTATCCCTCTGCTCAAGCAGAAGCGTGAGGAGAAGATCAAGCAGATGGAGGAGTCGGATCAGGCTGCAGTCGAATCACAAAAGAAGGCAGAGTCACTCAAGGGTTCAGTTGTCGTGCTCAACTCCAACACCAAGACAGCATCAATCATGCGAAAGAACAATCAACAGTCAACAGGAAGATCACGTCCTGTTTCACAAAAGATACCTCCACAACAGCAGCAGCAATATAACAACAACAGCAACTACAATAAGACGCCTCCACCATCGTCCTCTGCCAGTAAACCATCACCAAACAAGAATTCAGAGGTTGCCAAGAAGGCCGCAGCATGGCCACCCAACAATCCAAATGCCAGTCCAGCACCATCACAAGTAGCAAACAAACCAGTGCCCAAGCCATTGCCCAAGCAAGTCACTCAGCCTCAACAGCAGCAACAACAACAGCCAGCCAAACCATCGCCAACCAAACCAACAAACAACAACAGTAAACCAGCAGCACAACAAAAGCCAGTGGTAGTGGAGGAGGATGACGAACCAGTGACCGTTGTATACAATGACGATTTCTCTGGATACCAACCACAACACGAAGATGACGATGAAGATTTCAACGAGGAGGACTATGAAGAGTACGATATTTAAACCTATCTACCTACCTACATACCTACATACCTATCTCATTAATGATTGATTGAATGAGACAAGTACTACCATTAAATTAATTTATATTAATATTTATGTGATCACATGGTTGGTCTTTACCTCCTTCCATTGTGGTTGGACATTGAAACTCGGTCGACGAACATTGTGGAGCGATGAACTAGCCCCATGCATTTTCATGTGAGTTATGGCAAGTAGTAGTGTTGTCGTGTACATGTTGGTCAAGTCAAACAGTTGTTCCCTTACTACTAGTAATCTGATGAACACTAACCAATCAACCAAACAAACAGACTCTGTTATGATCAAAGTGGCACACACAGATTTCAGATAATTTTGGACCACCCAAAATGACCCACCAAGATTGAATTATTATGCAAACACACACTCCACCAGCAAGTATCTATCTCAGATCCTTATTAATTAAATGATGGTGCTTTCATCAACTTGTTATCCACATTCATTCTTACATTCATACATACAAATATTCACTATCTTTTATCTATCTATTATATTAGTTGTTAGCACTTTATTCAATGGAAGACATTGACACAATTGATTCATCTGCTCCTCCACCTCCTCCAATGGGAGGTCCACCTCCTCCTCCACCTCCTCCTCCTCCAGGACCTCCTCCTCCTCCAGGACCTCCCCCTCCCTCTGCAAACCCAGGCAGGAATGCTCTTTTGGGTTCTATTCAAGGCTTCAACTCCTCCAAGCTCAAGAAGGTCAAGCCCAACGATAAGAAGTCAGATGGTATGGCTTTGAAGAAGATGATGATGATGGTGATGGCAGGCGGTGTTGGTTGTGGCGAGAAATGGCGCAGAGTTCAGCAATAGAGAGTTAGAGTGAGAGAGTCAAAATTGTAATGATTCAAGAAGTTGGTTACTAATCTTATTGAATCCCTTTCCATATCTATAGCACCAATGAGATCAGGTGGTGGCGGTGGCGGTGGTGGCATTAGCAGCGGTGGTGGCGGCGGCGGTGGTGGTGGTAGACCAACCGTTGGAGGTGGTCCCTCTGGATTCGGTGATATCTTTGCAGGCGGTATGCCAAAGCTCAAGAGTAGAGGAGGTATCGACACTGGAAAGGGTGGTGATTCATCACCCGCACCAGCTGCTTCTCCAAAGACAAACACTGTCAACGCTGTCGGTCATGCTGTGGCTCTCAAGCCATCCACTGGTGTTCTTAGGACAGCACCACCAAAGTCCACTACACCAGTTGTTGCCAAGACCTCTGCCCCAAGCCCAGCAGTAGCCAAGAGCTCTGCTGCACCATGGTCAAAGCCATCTGCAAACGTCAAGAAGCCATCTGCACCAATTGAGCCAGTTAAACAAGCACCCACTCCTACTCCAGCTCCATCCGTGGTACTCAAGCCAGTCACCAAGGTGTCAACTCCAGCACCAGCTCCAGTCCCTTACCAAGCACCAGAGCCAGTCTTCGTTCCAACTCCAGAGCCAGTCAGATCTCCAGAGCCAGAGCCAATCAGAACTCCAGAGCCAGAGCCCGTCAGAACTCCAGAGCCAGAGCCAGTTAGAGCCCAGCCACAACTGGTCAAGCAGAACAGTGTCGTCAGTGTCGAGAGCAATATTACACCAAGTGGTCGTCCTTCAAACTTTGGATCAACTCCAAACACCACCACCAACAACACATTCAAAGCACAACCTGCTCCAGTCACAACAAAGTCTGTTGGAGGTTTCGGAAAGACTCAGGTCAACTGGGTCAACCCAGGCACTACTCCTGCCCCAGTCACTGTGGGAAGAGTCCAAACTGCAGTTCACACATCCACCACGACATCGGCACCAGTCACAAAGCAGCCACCAGTCGTCACAAAGCAACCATCGGCAACTTCATTGACCTCATCATTCAACAACAAGCCAACTCCAGTTGTCACCAAGCAGCCATCATTCACCTCCTCCACATCCCCAGTGGTCAAGCCTGTTGCACCAGTCGAGCCAGAGGTTGTCAAGCCCAAGTATACTCCAACCCCAGCTCCAGTTGTCAAGCCAACCTCCACATTCAAGGCTGCACCAGTGCTCAAGTCCGCCCCAGTTCTCAAGTCGGCACCGGTTATCAAGCCAGCATCTGCACCAGCACCAGCTCCAGCACTTGTTGTCATTCCAGAGCCAGAGCCCGAGTACGAGCCAGAGATTGTCTCTGTTCCAGTCCTTGAGCCTGAGCCAGAGCCCATTCCTTCGTATGAGCCAACTCCAACTTACGAGTCCACAACCCCAACCTATGAGCCAACTCCAACCTATGAGCCAGAGCCAGAGCCAGAGCCCATCCAAACCTATGAGCCCACTCCTTACGTTCCACCATACCAGGAGCCTGCAGCATTCAGCAAGCCATCCTCCACCAAAAACACTACCTCCTTCAACAACAAAACAACAACAGCAGCATCGACCAAATCATACGACCCAACTCCAGTCGTTCCACCTCAGCACAATGCTCTATCTTGTCACCGTTGCAAGCAGCACATTGAAGGAAGCCACTACAAGGCAATGGACAGAGCATGGCACGTTGAGCACTTTACCTGTAACGAGTAAGTTTGATTGATTGATTGACAACAAACTCCCAAACATAGCTAACACCAACACCGACACACTCATTATAGTTGTAACTCTCAAATTCAGAGCTACGTTGTTCACGACGATCAGCCATACTGTGAGCAGTGCTACGAGCGCAGATTCGTTGACCACAAGATCTGTGCAGGCTGCGACCAGGCTATCCTTGGCACAGTCGTTTCAGCACTCAGCAACTCATTCCATGCCGAATGTTTCAAGTGTAACTCTTGTGGAACATCGTTCCCAGACAATGAGTTCTACCAATACGAGGGCAAGCCATGGTGCCACGGATGTGTCCAGCGCGCCACCGCTCCAAAGGTGGAGGTGTGCAATGGCTGCCAACAGCAGATCGTTTCTAGAGGTGAGGGAGTCATTAAGGTTCTTGGCCAGAGATATCACAACAACAACCGTTGTTTCTCTTGCAAGGGATGTTACTCACCATTCCCCAACCTTAACTTCTACGAGGTCAAAGGCTGTGCCTATTGCTATGACTGTGCTCTTGCACTCCACTCATCTCAGTAGAGTCCAATGATAATTGGCAACATGATTCATTCCAGTCCAGTTTGTCATTCATTCAGCAAACTCAACCACAATCCTATACTATTTATTACTAATGCCAACACTAATTATAATAATAAACCATACCAATAATTATTTATTAACAATAACATTCATGTACATGTACATGTACTCCACTCCTATTGTTTGATCGATCTCTATTTATTTATAATTGTAATAATCTATCTATCTAAAAGTATCTATTGTTATTGTTGTTTGTTGGTTGCTGCTGTTGCTGCTGCGGCTGGATGAATCTTCCATTGTTGTAGGTTGGTGGAGCACCATAGGACATGGGTGCATTGCCAGGATAAGGTGGAGGAGCACCATAGGACATGGGTGCCTGTTGTGGCTGGTATTGGGAGGGTTGTGGCTGGTATGGTGATGGGGAGTAAGGTGGTGGCATGGCTCCATTATTGCTTTGGTATGACGATGTTGGTGGTGATTGGTAAAGATTGGATCCGTTGTTGTTGGCAGCAGCTGTCTGTGATATCTGACGTAGGAGTTCAGACTTTTCCTTCTCGCGCTCATTGGCAAAGTCTTCACACTTGGACTTGAACTTTAGCAGGAGCTCCTGGAAGTTGGTGTAGAACTGGATGCCCTCGCCCAAGTTTGATTTCAGCTCGCTGTATGTCTTGAAGGCGTTGGCGAATCTCTGCAAAGTCTCTTCACGTTGACTGCCATGCTTAGAGTTTGTCTTGACAAACTTCTCGTTCTCGGCACAGATGTTCTCCATCAATGCCTCCTGCTTCAAAAAGTTATCGTTCAACTGTTGTTGCAGTGGCTCATACTTGGCAATCTCTTCTTTGTACACTTGATTCTTATCCACCTTGGGATTGATCAACTTGGTTGTGATGTCATCCTGTTTGTTTATGGTATGATGTTATGTTTGTTAGTCAACAAGTTTACTCATACACTATCTGTTGCTGCTGCTACTATTACTTACATTCTTACAGAGTTGTTTTAATTTCTCTGCCACTGAATCACGGTTGGCAATCAACGAGTCTAGACTCTTGATGAGAGTCTTTAGGTTGGCAACCTCTGGAACTTGGTTGAGGGGAATAACATTGGATGGTAGTTGTGCAATCACCTCGCTCTGTGACTCGAGTGCAGCAATCAGATGCTTGGCATCCTCAAACTTCTTCCTGATGTGTGAGTCGGACTTTGTTGAGTGTTGGAGGTTGCTCTGGTACTTGGCAAGGTCCTGACGGAGGTTGGCGGTGAGTGTGTAGGAAGGGGTGCGACGCCACGTTGAGCCATGTGTTTGGCTCATCTTGGTGTCCTCCTCCTCCTCACGGTTCAGAACAGATTGAGTTGTGTTCAATATTGACTCGTCCTCATTGTGCAACTGCTGCAATGAGCGTAGCAAGTCAGTGATCATCTCCACACCTCTCTCTGACTTTACCAAGTCCATCTTCTCTTGCAATGCCTTTGGTACACCAATCTCCAAAGCCTCAATGGCACCAGGAAGGTTCATTGACAAAAGGGTCCTATAGTACGGTATAACATGTTAGTGACTATGACAACCTCAAGAGGTGAGTAGTTGATATACATACGCCTTTGCATTCTCTCCATGGTACTTGATATTGTCCAACTCCTTCTTGAGTATCTGCTCCTTTTGATCATTGTACATGGCAGAGTCCTCCTTGACAGAGAATGGAACGAGGAGAGTGAAAGGATCGTTGGAGATCAGGTCGGGAAGTGGTGATGCCTTGGCAATGGCCTTCTTTTCGATTGGTACCAACTTGTGGAATGGTGGAACGATGTCGTGGTAGATGGTTTCGTTGTCCTTCTTGGCAGACTCGTAGTACTTGATGATGATGTTGGAGATCTTGTCGACAAACTCCTTCAACTCACCAACTGCTGTCTTTGGCAAATGTTGACGTGTCGTGTTGATGCACTCCACAGCATAAGTCAAACGGGCAACCTGTTCTCCAAACTGTGATGTGGACTCCAATCCAAGTGCCACCTTGTAGTTTGCAATTGCCCTATAGATGTGGACCTTTGTCAAACATGATGCTGTCCAATACTATGAGATAATAATGTTAATAAACTGTTGTTGGTCATTCTCATATTATTAAGAAGATGGATTACATACTCTATCTACGACGTTCTTGAGTGTGTTGGTGTTGGTCAACTGATGTACAGTGTCAAAGTCCTCAGCCACTTGGATGGCCAACTTGGATTGAATAGAGTCTGAGAGATTGTCAGCGACAGCCTTCTCATAGACACACTCTTGAGCTTGGGCAAGCATCAAGGCTGAGGCCATGTTGAGAGAGTCGGCACTAAAGTCTGGCGAAGCACAGCATTCACTGTGCATCGAGACGTACTCTCGCAATGTGTTGAAGGCACCAGCAGCGGCCTGGTATGTTTGACAGGCCTTCTTGATACCATCCACCGTTGATCTATTGACTGATGCAGCCACCTGTGACAGCAATGAGCCATAGTTGAATAGTATAGAGCTTCTCTCAAAGTAAACAGAGTACAATGAGTACTTCTTTTGTTTATAAGAATCTGTCCAATAGAATGATATCCTAACCTATATATATTATGTGTAAGTCATCTCAACGATAAGGATGTTCCAACAACAACGTACATTGCTCTCAGAGATTGGGAATCTAAGTTCCAAAGATTGTAAGATTGAATAGTAACGCCATAGCAAGTCTTTAGAGGTATCTGTCTTGTCTTGAAGATTGCGTACATCCTCTCTCAACTGTTGCAAGGCATTCAGCTGTGATTCATGATTGGAAGCCTCCTCCTTGCTAAAGTGGTCCTTGATGTACTTTGTCAATGGCTTGACAAAGTCAACCTTGTCAGTCCTCTTTCTCTCAATTGACAACATATTATTATTATTATTATTGTTTACTATATATGTACTATAACTGTTATTATTATCAAGATGGTCGAATGAGATTCTGATTGCTACTCTCTGGGCAAACACACCAAACACACTTTTTTGATCATTTTGGCCTTACAGATCAAGGTTTGGTCATCTTTGATATCAAAGAATGGAACTTCCCATCAATCTTGGCCTGGTGGGTTAATCACTTTGACTCACCGCCTTCAACAATGTTAATGAATGTTCGATCACTTGAACTTGCGAGCCTAGGATCATGTCAAAGAATGAATGAATGAATGTATGATAATTATCTCGAGATCTTGTTTGGAGCGTTATCGTTTATTCAAGTGTTTTGTTCCATCGGTGAACAAACCATTGACATTCCTCCGTCCGAATGATGATGATGATCACTACCACTCCTCATTCACTCATAATCATTAATACCATTTACTTCAATGATACAACAGAGTGTGACAGTGATTCACCATTCTGATTGTGAAAGGTTTGCTCTGGTGCAGGTGATATACAACCAACAAAGAAGTTGTGACTACGGTATGTTTGTTGTTGCTCACTGCTCTCCAATTGATTGCCAGCGAATGATATGTCGTCCTGTATGGCCTGTATGAGACCGGGCAGATCGTTAAAGTCGCACATTGGTCTTATGAAACCAGTGGCAATTGCACTGATCTCTTTTGAGTAAAAGTCCTCGTCGTATCGTTTCAATATATGTATCTCTATGGTCTTCTTCTCGTTCTTATAGAATGGGTTCCAACCGATACTCATCACCATCTTGTGTACCTCTGTGTCGACGCCTGTCACCTTTGCCCATCCATAAAACACTCCAACAGGTATATCTTTTATCGTCTCTTCATATTGTTCTACGGGTAGGTTGGCTATATTGTATAGTGTAGAGATGTAAGCTTACCGATTGATCATCATTGTACACATTATTGTTGTTGTATGCTTTACTTACCTGTTGGACAACCCAGCTGTTTACTGCCTCTTCCGAAACCATTAATGACCGTTCCTCTCAAGAATAGGGGAAATACGGACATATCCTCCAAGTTCATTCCTCTCTCTATTGTTTGCATTATTATTATTATTTATATGTATGTATGTATGAATGTGTATTATATGATACAGGTTGTTTGTTTAATATATATATGTTTATATAAGTGTAATTGATTAATGTGATTGTTAAGAATGAGAATCATCTGATCAACACTGTGGAACGACTTCTGTTCTCAAAAAGGTGAAACAAGTTCACGCGATCATCCCGACATTCTTTATGTAGTGCAATGTCCCTTCAGGAACCATTGGAATGGGTCCCACCAACTTTAAATAAATGTTATTTATTATTATACATATATAAATAAATAAATAAAACAATAGTCGCACTCTACATAATATATATACTATTTAAATAATATTAATTAACTGACTGGTTTAGATGCGATTTGAGGGAATATACTCCTGTTGTTAATTGGCAATGTTAGGTCATGTTGTTGTTGTAATCCTTTACCATTCATACTTACTCTAAATCCTTGTATATGTAGGTATGTGGGAATGTTGAGTTCTTCTCACGCAGTACGAACCTCTCTGGAATCCATGGGATATTGTTATCCCTACGGTGATTCTCATCCTTTCTTTGTCTTTCCTCGATCACATTCTTCTCTTTGGCAGTCATCTCATCATTGTTACTCAATATACCCTCCTCAACTACCTTCCATATGCTATAATGTTGATTGATGTTAGTATGACATCGTAGTCCACAACACATCGTAATACATACTGCTCTGAACTGTTCAATGGTTGTTGATCCAACGGTAGTTGCTTTGGTGGATATACCTTGGCGGTGGATACATCAAACAACTTCCTCTCATGTCCACTGTTTGGCACGAGAATCAATTGACTATCCCAATTGCCCTTAATCTTGTGTAGTGTCTTTGCTCCATGGTTGATGGTAGCTTTGATTCCATTGTGATGCTTTGATGATCCAATTACACTCTTGCTGAGGAACTCCATATGTGCAATGTAGTCGCTATTCAACTTTCTTAATGTGGTCTGTTTGGTTGTTGGTGTAGTTATGTTAGTTGATGTCGTTGGAATCACGACTGTATTTTAGTAAACAAAACATACCTTTCCACTTGTGAATGTACCCAATCTTCCAATGAGAATACCTCTTACTCCAATGACTGGCAGTGTAAGTTCATAGGTCTCCTTGCGCTTGAGGAAGTGGAAAACCATCTTGCCTTCAAGCGAGGACTCTGCAAAGTTTCCATAGAACTTGACATAGTTTGTAGATATGTTGCCATTGACAATGACCTCTCGCTTCTTGTTATAGAGACAAAAGGCAGAGTGTGGCGGATGATGTGATATTTGCTCGGCTACAAAATGTGTCTTGTCATCTTCATTTTCCGAGTTCTCCAATGATGGCCAATAGCAATCAAACACCTCTCCAACGATTGGATTGAAAGGCTTCTTGATACCCTTTGGTCTTGTGTGCCAGCCAGACAATACGAATTTGGTCATCTGTACAAATCGCTCCTCTTCATTATCAATGTTCTGAACTCTAAATGTGGGTATTGGTGATGAAAAGTATTAGTTATTTGTGATTCAACTAATCCACCAACTAGATCATAATATAAATAATGATTACATACTCAAACAAGTCGTCCAGACATCTAAAGAAGTCGGTCAGTGAGTCTAAAAGTGATCGAGGTTGCAACAGGAAACATGGCAACACCAAATGTTTGATTTCAGAGCCAGGCTTTATCTGCTTTATCAGATGTCCAATAATTGTCATCTTTGATTCTGGTAGTGTTTCTCCATCTGCATCATTATGTTGCTGTTGTTGTTGTTGTTGCTGTGGCTGTTGTTGTTGTTGATGATTAGCATCCTTGTCTGAGGAGCGCAGTTTGTTGAAAAACTTTGACATTATTTATTTGTTTAATATAATTATTTGTATACTACTTATATATATTTGTATGGTTGGTATTATAAATGTTAACAGCATTGCAATGAACCAATGTGTATTGACTTTCGTGTGTTATGAATATAATTATTTAAATAAATATCTCTTGTGTGTGACCTATTCAGTGAAGTTGAATCAAATTACACTCACTCGCACTCAGAGACAACTTATTCACACAATTACCACACCCCACACCAAGAGAGATTCCCCACACATTCACACACGCTCTACTCGATTGGGAAAACAACAAAGAACCCCAAATTATCTTTTAGCTTTGCTGCTTGCTTTAGCACTACTGGTGTGAGGCTCTAAGGAGACACAGCATCATCATCTATCATCATAGTCGTCATTGTGATCGTCATGGAAATTTACAGATGCTTGTTTTTTGTGTCAAAGAGTTATACAGATAGATAAAAGATAGATAGATAGATAGATAAAGGATGTTGAGCAGATCAAGTGTTTGTTTGTTGATCAATGGAGTTAGATCATACTCCACTGCCGCCTCAGAGAGAGTGGTCGGATTCATTGGTCTTGGTAACATGGGTGGACACCAGGCTGCTAACCTCATCAAGAAGGGTCACAAGGTAATCGTTTACGATATCTCTCAGGACAATGTCAACAGACTCAAGGATAAGGGTGCCCTCGTCGCATCTTCCCCATCAGAGTTGGCCAAGAAAGCCGACGTCATCGTCACTATGTTGCCAGCATCCGCACATGTCAAGTCTGTCTACTGTGGTGATAATGGTATCTTCAAGTAGGTATCTCTATCTCTCTCTCTCACTCTCTCTATCCTCTATTGTGTGTACGTATTCTCACCACTTTGGCATACTACTAGGTCTATCAAGCCAGGTACTCTTCTTTTGGACTCTTCGACAATCGATCCACAGACTGCCCGTGAGGTGGCCGACATTGCTACCAAGCACAACTCGACTTTGTTGGATTGCCCAGTGTCTGGTGGCACTGGTGGTGCTGAGGCAGGAACTTTGACATTCATGGTCGGTGGCAAGGAGGCTGATTTTGAGCGCGCCAAGCCATACCTCCAGGCAATGGGCAAGAACATCGTCCACTGTGGTGACGTTGGCACTGGACAGGCTGCCAAGGTGTGCAACAACCTTGTGCTCGGTATCTCAATGGTTGGTGTCAGTGAGGCCATGAACCTTGGCGTCAAGCTTGGAATCGATCCAAAGAAGCTGGCTGGCATCTTCAACACTTCGTCTGCTCGCTGCTGGAGCAGTGAGCTGTACAACCCATGTCCAGGCGTCTTGGAAAACTCGCCTGCCTCACGTGGATACACTGGCGGCTTTGGCTCTGCCCTCATGAACAAGGATCTTGGTTTGGCTGTCGACAGCGCCAAGTCCCTCGGTGAGCCACTGCCACTGGGCACCACCGCCCACCAATTCTACACCATGATGGTCCAGAAGGGACTTGGTAACAAGGACTTCTCAGTTGCCTATGAATTCCTCCAGAAGACCAAGCAATAAAACAGGTCAACTAGCAAACAAACAACAACAAACTATTGGTACAACATTAGAATGTAGGATACAGACATCTCTACGCCCAATGATCTGATATATTCTTTGGACCTTTGATGGTCTTGATCAGTCGCTCCATGACATTCTTCTTACGTACTGGATCCTTGTACTTGCCACCAGGCTTCATTGAGAATGGGATGTTGTTGATGACTGAGCCTTGCGATGATTGATAGTTGATCTTGTTCTTGAGGAACTCGCATCGCACACGATTGTTTGTCATCTTCTCGCCAATGAGCAGCCGCACCTTCTCATTGGGCTCGCACTGCAACGCAGCGTTGAAGTAAAAGATAGCCTGTTCGTACAAGGGTATGGCTTTGGTGAAGTTGTGCACGTCATCCTCCTTGACGGCCTCTTGTGTATAGTTGATGGCCATGTCAATGTACTCTGATGACGACTCCTCAATGTTGCCGTAGGAGGACATGTCAAATGAGTCACCGGCCACCTGAGGGAATGGTACATCAGAGTTGTTGTGACTGCCAAACGTTGGTGATGATCTTATCCTCACACCCAACTCCTCAGCCCTAGATGAGTACTCTTGTTTCTTCTGATTCAAGTATAGTCTAGATTCTATATCAGTCTCCACTGGATGTTCATTGTTTGATTGAATGTTAGGTCACATGAATGAATGAGTCCAACTCAACAACAACATACATAATGATGCTTGATCCAATAGTTCAGCACAGTTATGATAACAAGCGATAGAGTCTGATATCCTGTTCTCTGACTCTGCCTTGACAGCATTGTTTGCCATTGCCAATGCATTCTGTATGAGTGTGTCCTTGGATGGCTGAGACGGGGGTGATGGGAAGGCAAACATTGGCGATGCATTGGTCGTTGGCGTTGGCATTGGTGGAGCCATCAGGTTGTACGTGGATCTCAGGTAGTCTACACGCTTAGAGTACTCTTGAATCTTTGTCTGAATGAGATCCCTTGTCTGTGCGTCTCTGGCCGTATCCAACACCTGTCTCAGATGCTCAATGGCCAGAGTGTACATTGAAACAGCCTCTTGAGTTCTATTGGCAGTGTCAAGTGCTACAGCCTTCTTCACCAATTCTAATGCCTCTTGTAATGATACCATTATTTTGTATCTATCTATGTATATGTATATATCTAATGAATAATAAATTAAATTAATGAACAACAGCAATGACACTTTTCAAAGATCTTTGTAGGGATGATCGATCAAAACAACAACAAACTTCAACGGCAACCCTTATTCTCGAGGACCTGATTCAAATAACTATTATACCAACCAGGGATAGACAATGTCCATTGTGTAAATAATGATGCTATTGAACTTCCAGATAGGAAGGATACTCAACAAACAACAACAACAACAACAACAACAACAACAACAACAACAACAACAACAACAACAACAACAACAAGGAATATTAGCCTAATCACATATTTCTATATATAAACTTGTAATCCTACATAACAGTATCAGCTGATAATGGTGTTTCCCGACCTCTCTCCGCAATCATCACACACACTCACACAAACCACAACATTGGTGAGTGGATTATTCAATAGAGAGAGAGAGAATGAATGAAACACAAACACCAATGCAGCGAACACATCGACATGACAGCAGATGAGCAGATAGAGAGAGTGAGAGAGTGTGATTACAGTGGTCTTATTAGGTTAACCTTGTGATTGTTTATGTGTCTGTGAGATAGAGAGAGACACAAAGCACGGGAAATCATCATTACATCAACATCAACAACAAGCTCAATCAAACTATTGATCAATCAATCAAATCAGAGCCAAATAACATGTTTGATTGTAATTATTAGTAATAATATTTATTTCCGCCGTGTTCCATATACACTTATCGTCATAAATAATCACCTTTATATATCTAATCACATAAATCGGTAGTGATCCTCTATCCTTCCATCAATCAATACATCCACAACATAACAACGAAATATATTGTCGAAGATATATTGAACTTATATATTTATAAATATGGATATCGATGTAACATTAGAAACAGAGAAATCTGTAGAGCCAACTGGAAATGTCCAGTTTAAAACAATGACATCAACAACAACAGCAACAGAGTCAGCCAAAAACAACAACAATGACTTGGCATCAAGTTCTGCCTCCACATCATCAACTGGCCAGAGATGCGATGATAACAAATCAATGATTGATACAAAGAACAACAAGTGTAATAATGATAGTAGTACAGCATCATTGAATGATGGACATCATAGAACAAAGTTACCAATAACAATATTACTAATGGATACATTTATATCGATGGCTGCCATATGTCCACTAGCGATCGGTGGAATATCATCAAACTTGGCATACCTATTAACTGGTATCTATGGCCTTTTGACCCTACCATTCTCATTAGTCGCCCTCTACGGTGTATATAAGTTATTATTATTTCCTTTAAAGATTGTAAGTTATAATATATCTTTGTACAAATATTAGTTACTAACCTAAATATTTAAAGTATTATTATTGGAAAGATATTATCAATACTATTAATAGAGTCAATAGTTATATTAATTGGAATATTGGCTAGATTCAATAAGGTATCAACAATTGAAACATGGTGGACTACAATAGTAATATTGATTGCAATTGGATTATTATGTGTAGTTTGGAATATATCATGTATTTTATGGACTAGACCTCTATTAATATCATTGAGAGTGGCACAACAAGAACAACATCTAAAGATGATAAAGATCAATAACTTACCAAGTAGGAAATTCCTATTAGGTGATGAGGAATCAAACAATCCCTACGAACTATCAGATAATGATCTGATAAGAGAGATATCTAGGTAAAATCAAACTTATTATTATATATTGTATCATGAATATTAACAATCAAACTTTATTCCAATTTAGGCATGGATCAACATTGGAGGATCCAGCAGTTACAATGATCAAACAGTTTAATAAGGGTCCAGATCAGTTTGTCCAAACAATAGACTCTACAACATATGACAAGTTAATCAATCTATTACATATTAGAGATGATGTGAACAAAGTAGTACTTGGTGTATTCTTAGGTGGAAGGTATGTTATTTAATTAATTTCCAACGATCAATAACTAATTATTATTTTTATATATTAGCCATCCAACCAACAAGAAGTTCCTCAATGACTATGTTAATGGATTTGAAGCATGGACTAATAAGGAGTTTGATGAGACGTTGAGGGAGTTCTTGGCGAGATTCAGATTACCAAAGGAAGCCCAACAGATTGATCGAATTATGGAATGCTTTGCTCACAAGTATGCAAGAGATAATCCAGATAGATTCTCTGATCCAGACACGGCATATCTATTGGCATTCTCTTTGATCCTGCTCAATACCGATGCTCACAATATCAATATCAAACATAAGATGTCCAAACGAGTGTTTGTACATAACAATCTCAATGAGTTGGTCAAGGGCAAGAACAGTACTGGAGGTCAACTCACTGCCGACTATCTTGGTGCACTATATGATCGTATCATAGCATCTGAGCTCAAGATTGACAGTGATACAATATTTTCAAATGCTCTGATGAAGGGTTGGCTACACAAGATGTCATCCAATCACAAGAAGCACTGGCAACGTCGTTGGTTCGTTCTAAAGAACAACTGTATATATTACTTTAGTACCAAAAAGGTAAGTCAATATCTTCATGATTGATGATCCGTACATACTCACTATCATCTTCAAAGAACGAACATCCAAAAGTAATAATACCATTGGAGGGTCTGAGACTTAGGAAGTTATCAGAACTATCTTTTGAGATACATGATGCGACTATATCAACGATCAAGTCTGTCAAGCTAACTACTAATGGACCTGTGGAGGGCAATCATCAAAAGTATATGCTCAAGGCAAGCTCACCAGAGGAAGCCAACAAATGGATGGAATCAATCGCCAGCAATATCCTTGGTAGTCCTGTGATACTGTTGATCAAGAGGAAGAAGAGAATGTTGGTGCGAAAGCATCAAGTGGAGGAGGGTGCTGTTGGCAATGGCAGTGGCAGTATCAGGAGCAAGGTGCACAGGGAGGACAGCTTCAGTGTCTTTGGTTCGTTGACTCAGCACCACGAGGATTCGCTGGGGTCCAGAGCAAGATGCAGTTCATTCGACTTTGACAGTCTAGCTCAAAGTATTGGTACCATTACTGATGACTGTCCTCCAACAACAGCTGATGGTGGAAGTGGAGGCGATGGTCGATGATAGAGAATACATTTATTTGACATTGTATTATTAATGCTTGTTTAAGTAGTTGGTTATTATTATTGATATTGATTGATTGATTGATCATATTGATGATGATGAAGATGAAGTAGATTATGTTGGCATAGAGGAGTTGTTTGGTTGTTTGGTTGGTTGGTTGGTTGGTTGATTGGTTGGACTGAGGAAATTGACTTTAGAATCCACCTTGCATGCCTCCCATCTGCTGGTTCATGCCACCACCCATGCCCATGCCTCCTTGCATGCCGCCACCCTGCATACCTCCCATCTGCTGGTTCATGCCACCACCCATTCCCATACCCATGCCCATGCCTCCTTGCATGCCCATGTTGGGACGTTGGTTCATGCCCATTGGTTGGGTGTTGATCGTCGTGCCGGCAGAGGTGATCGGACCATTGGCGGCTCTGGCGGGTGTAGACCTAATCTTTTGGTTCTGGTTATTGTTGATTGGCACCTGTTGTTGGTTGGCCTTGCCTAGGTTACTGAGATCGAACAGGTCCTTCTTTGCCCACGGATCGTTGGCAGACACTGACTTCTCTTGCTTGACATTCGATTGGAAGTCTCCAGAAGGTTGGTCGAATGGGTTAAAGTCTTGATTGTTGTTGTTGCTGGAAGAGTTGAAATCGCCAAACTCATCTAAACAATATGTGTGATGTTAGTGATTGGTCACTTTGGTGACAATGTTGTACTTGCTACTTACCCTTAGCGAATGGATCCTTAGCAGTCTGGAATCCACCAAACTGTTGCTGTGGTGGCATTTGTCCGAATTGCTGTTGCTGACCAAATTGTTGTTGCTGTGGCTGGACGAATTGTTGTTGATTGCCACCACCTCCAAATACATCGAATCCACCCTGCTGCTGTGGGTTGAATGGTTGCTGACCAAACTGGTTGTTGCCCTGAATCATTTGTTGCTGGTTGAAACCGACGTTGCCACTGTTGCCCTCGAGTGGGTCAAACACCAGGGGTGTCCTGACGGGTGGAGCTGGCTCTGAAAAGTCGATGAGGGCAGCATCGGTCTGGGGAGTCGAAAGACTGCCACCACTGGCTGCTCTGGGTCTTGAGCGCGTGGACGATTGTTGGTCGTCAAAGGCGTCGTTTGTTCGGCTGCCGCCAGCCGAGGAGATTCTGTCGTCTCTGGTGGATCCTCGCGGATTTCCACCATTGCCAAATCGGTTGCTGTCGCGATCGCCAAATCTGTCGCCACCACCGCCGCCACCGGATCTCATGTTCCTGCTGTTGTTACCAGAGTCCGACTCGTCATCATGGCCACCATGGATATATGGGTTGGGCTCTTGTCCGCCGCTGCCAAAGCTGTTTCTTCTGCCGCCGCTGCCACCATAGGAGTCGTTGTCTCTGCCGTAGGGTGAGTCACGGTTGCTGCTGCCGCCATAGGAGTCTCCTCTGTCACGACCGTATGGCGAGTCACGGCTACCTCCTCCTCCGTATGAGTCGCGGTTGCCACCGTAAGAGTCACCGCCGCCACCGCCACCACCTCTGCCATAAGTGTCTCTTCCGTAGGGGTCAGAGTCGCCTCCGTATCCGCCACCATAGCCATCATTTCCAATTCCTACATATTTGTTCTGGTTGGTCTTTGCCTTGTCTCTCTCCTCCTTAATCTTCTTGTCATCATGCAGCAGATCATATACCTGCTTTGCTCTCTCACGAACTATATAGTATGATAAACATTGTTTGTTAGTGATGTGATTGCATTGATTCATTCATATGATTGTTATTACAACAACATACCACTCATGCCAACATCCTTCTCATCCTCGATATATTGGAACTCTTGTAGAGTCTTTATCTCCATTGCGTGATGTCTGCAATCTCTGATGACCTGTGCTGAACCATTCTTGACCAAGTAATCAATCAAGAGCAATGACTAAGAGTTGATAGTGTTAGGGTGGTGATGTTGATGGTGGTGAGTGGTAGTACTAACCTTGTAGACATGTCTCCAGTATTTACCAGGATCGTTGATCCTCTTCCAGATGACACCCATGATCACTGGGAAACACTCACTATAGGTATTGTGTATTTGTTAGCAATGTTCAATTGAGACACACCATGTGGCACACAACAGAAGACAATACAAGAGACATACTATCTATAAGACTCCCTTGAGATCTCCTGCATCTGAGTACCAGTTGGACCCCATTTATCATTGGACGTAGCATCTCTAACCTTTCTCTCAATCTCTGGTGTGTTTAACACTGCGTCCTTGCTGTTGTTTGGTACAGAAATAGATGTTAGACAACATAATAATATATTAAAAAGTTGTCAATACATATATGTATGCCTTACCCTTTCTTGACATATGTTTTCAGAGCATCCATGTTCATAGCTTACTAAAAGGTGATTTGTTGTTCTCAGTAGCTTTGTATGCTGAAGAGTACACTGTGGGTTTAAAATACAACAACAAGACTCTATCTATCTGTGTTTTGAAGAATCTATTTGACCAAGTCTGATGTTATGTTTATATTTAATGTTTTGACTAATATATATATATCTTCTTCTACTTCTCTCTCTCTCTATCTATCTATCTCACTCAATCTAATAGACTCTCTATTGAACAACAACAACAAAACACATTCCAACAACCCTTAGGGCAGGTCAACTTCTGATGCACTCAGTTGACCCACGTAGCACCCCTCAAGTGTGAACAATCATACACAAAAAATTGACTTTTTGGTGTTGTTCATCAATCCATTGATTATTCGGAATGAACCTGGGTAGAATGTACTGTGGTTATGATAAAGAATACCTTTAGTACATAGTTGTTGTTGGAATAAAGATACAGTTAATAACTGTTGGTAAACAATATCGATAACATTTGACATCAATGATAAAACAATCAATAACTTGCATTTTGAACTTCGGTTATTTTTCTGAATTGGAGGTCAACAACACCCAGCCAAAAAATGGTGTGAATGAAAACGAGAGATCACTTTGAATCACAGACCATTCGATTAAACATCGTTTTCGAAACAATACAATCACATAAATATACACATATATATAAAAATACAGAATGGATGAAATCACTAGACTGTATCAGATAAAGAGGACTCTCTTACAGATGTTGGCTGATCGTGGTTATATGATCACTTCATCAGAGTTGGAGGAGGGCAAAGATGAGTTCAAGAGAGGCTTTGATGGGTATGACATCTTTATCATTCATTCATTCATTCATTCAATAGGAATAATATACATGTTGTCTAGAGTCTAATATCATGATGAACTACCCAATCAATCAATCACAATCAATCAAACTAGACGTGAGAAGTTAGACTCTGTATTTAATAAGAAGGAGGATGCTATGGATAAGATATTCATCTTCTTCCCTAAAGACCCAAAGGTCGGACTTGGTCCAATTAAAGAGTATGTTGTTGTCAACAACCAACACATGTTGGAACCTACCCTAACATGAGATCATCATCAACTTCTATCTATTTAGATATGTAAAGAAGATGAAGGATTTGAGTGTGTCTAGAGCGATCATTGTCGTACAACAGGCAATGACACCATTTGCCAAGCAAGCATTGGCAGAGGTATCACAGAACCGTGATGAGGAGTCAAAGAAGATGATCCTGGAGCACTTTAACGAGGCTGAACTACTTGTCAATATCACACATCATCAGTTGGTCCCCAAACACATCCTGCTGACCAAGGAAGAGAAGCATGAACTACTTACAAGATAGTAAGTTACACCTAACATCATCATTATCACAGTGATGCAATCACTAACTCTCTCTCTCTCTCTCACTTGTGTAAACAGCAAAATGAAGGAGACACAACTGCCACGTATTCAGATCAATGATCCAGTGTCTAGATACTTTGGACTGCAGAGAGGAAACGTTGTAAAGATCGTTAGACCATCAGAGACTGCTGGAAGATATATTACATACAGGTTGGTGGTCTAAGATGTTGACATTATTGGTGTTAAATCAACGAATGAATGAATGAATGAACGAATGAACGAACAGATGACGAATGACCATGATAAATCGAAACACAGGATCATCATCATCACAAGCGTATACGATCACCTGACGATCAGGTCCATCAATAATAACATCATCATCATCCACTCAAGGCGAGTTGATTTATTACCGACACTTGGCTATCCAGCCATCCTCCTTTGTCATTATAATATTTATTTAATGACGGAACCAGCGAGATTCATCGTGTTTGTTATAGGCCAAATCCGTATTGGCAAAGACGACTGTGATTGATCCAATCAGTTGGGACGTCGTTCCGGATTGACCCCATGTCAACATATCTGTTTGGGTAAGATAGATATGTTGCAGGGAGGTGAAGGAGGAGGATGTTGACAATCCCTCCAACACTGTTTGGTTCCACTTGGCATTTTGTTGAATGTAATCCTGATGATCATAGAGCTCTTGGATGCTTTTAAGTGTTACAAGGTGCTTCAGGGAAGCCATCAGTTGCAAAAGTGGAGGTTCCTCTGCAAAGTAACATAGTGAGATATCCAGGTATTGAATATTGCTCTGGGAGCCTTCAAGACAGAGCGCCAACTGTCGGACCAGCTGGTCATTCAACGAGTCCACCAACGTCAAGTGCATAAGGTGTCTGTTTGTTGCCAAGCTACTGAGAAATTCAAAGTCGCAGAGACCTGTGTGCACCAGGCTCAACTTGTTAAGTCTTGTGTTTTTGATCGCCTGTCCCAAAGAAGTCTGTGCCAGTCGCTTCATTGGGAAGGGCAACATGTCATCACCTTGGAACTTATACTCTGTGATCCAGAGTGAGCGGAGGAAAGTGTTTGAAGCGAGTACAGTGAATGCCACTTCATAGCTGTTGGATATCTCATCCTGGTGAACCACTCTTGTTAGCCAGACCTTGAGTGAAAGTAGTCTTTTGCAACTGAAAGCCGTTGCAAGGCTCTGATGATCAATGGCCTTATACTTGATTGTCACAGATTCCAGTGTGTCAATTWACAAAGAGATGTTGGAACGATAAAGCAAAGTGAATGAAGCCAACGTAGGAGTTTAAGAACAACCTTTCCTTTTTYCATATTGAAGTCAATAGTCAGTCGTTGTACAGCCATCTTTGTAATAAGTTGACAATCATCATAAACATCAAAGTTGTACATAGTTAGTCTACGTATTCTTAGTGCATTCTCTCTTTGATGTTTGGCGAGCACTGAAAGGTCGTCTTGAACATAAAGGTCAATTACAATATTATTGTCAATATTGAATATTGATGACTTTAGCAACAACAACAATGAGTAGTCAAATGTCAATGTGTTGGCCAATTGTAGATTTGAAGGTAGGTATTTGATTCGTGAGAGGTTGGGAGAAGCCTTAATCATTGTCTCCACAGACTTGTAATCTAATGATTGACAATATTGAGTTGAAGGCACAGTGATCCTAATGTATTTTGTAGCTATCATCACCATATTGTATAGACGAGGAAAGGTATCTGATCTGTTCTTCCATTGTGCATGTGTTATTTCAAACTTGATCGAGTCCAATATATATTGAAACCAAGTAGTGTTGACCAGTGCATAGTATGGTAGGTTGGTTGGCAATACTTCATCTTCATAACCACATGTAGTTCGATTGTTGTGTTGATGATGGGCCAGGAGACATTGAATAATCTTTCTATGGAGTATTAATGGTAGATAATTGGACATGGATAGTAATTGTTAGCTTGTAGTTATATATCTAATTGGTTGGATATTAGTTTTATTGTGAACAACCTTTTGGAAACAATTTTGAATGATTATAATTTATTTTAATTTTTATTTATAATAAATAGTTTTTTGCTAGTTGAGTTTTGGGGGTTGTTTGATTCGTTTTTTGGCCGCGCTACTTTTTTGATTAGATGCAAAAAAATATCTAAATTCGATTAGTCTTCCAAGAGATAGAGAATTATAGATACACACATACATACACAGAAATAATAATAGTAATATGATATCATCAAGGTCAGATTTTGATAATAATAATAATAATAACAACAACAACAATATGATATCACCTCAAGCGCCTCATCATGATACAGGTGGCACAACTAGAGTACTTAATCAAATAAAGGTTGATGGTGATGTCACAACGACAACTACGACGACGACAAATCATGATCTCTCAACGTCATCATCATTGATAGATTTGGAACTATTCCTAAGTCAACCACCAATGATGATGGCAGTATCTCATGAACCATCAATACTCTTTCAACCACAAGATGTCGAGTTGGATCACCACCATCATCACCAGCATCATCATCAACAATATAATGGTGCTTCACTATTTAATGATGACCAACAACATCAACAACATATAGATAATAATAATAACTACTTTGACATGGGATTCTTTGGTGATCATGATCCATCACTGTCTCCATCGACCTCCATGTCATCACCACCATCATCGTCAGGTGTGGCATCATCAGATGGCAATGAATTGACATTTGAACAACAGCTTCAACAGCAATGGAGTGATTCAAATGATTATCTCTTGTCAATACCTCCTGAAACATCTATCCAACAACCACAACAACATCAACTTGTTTCATCTGGACCCTCAGATCAATATATCTTGTACACTACCGACAACAACAACAACTTCAATGAGCAATACACACAACAATATCCTCAACAACAACAACAACATCAGATGATGCCTCCACCTCCTCCTCTTCAACAATTTGAACATCCTGTACACAACACCACCATGCCTGCCATACCATCACCAACACCATCACCATTATCACCATTACCACCTCTACAAACATCAACAACATCAACATCCAGTACATCAACAACATCAACAGCAATAATACCAACAACTACACCAATTGGTATAGGTGGCAATAGTAATATACAATCACAGTCTGAGGCACTAAAGGCATCACCATTCACATTCCATTGTACACCTACATTCTATGCATCCAAGAAGAGCAACAAGATTGGTGTATTCCTGTACCATATGGCTGAGCCCAACCGTGTCTGTCGCAATCATCCCCATCTGCGACTACAACTCGAATCGACATTTCCTCATTGGGTGCCAAGCACATTCACTCGCAAGGACAACAAACAGAACATTGATAGCATTGCATCCAAACAATTTGGTACACTACACACTGTGATGAAGGAAGGTGAGGCACTCTTTGGTCCAGTCAGCATTCTAAAGACAGGCACCTATCATCTAAAGTGTTCAGTCGTGCCTTCACCCGTGCCCAGCCCCGAGGAGCGTGTCTTCAGAGACTTTAGTTTCACATTCAAGCTCTACTTCTATGGACAGCCCACAAAGAAGAAGGTTGAGGACTCTGTCGATGATCCCAATAGCTTGTCATCAAGTATGTATCATCCCATAGAGATTCAATTGACATTATCAAACAAATACTAACCAAACATTTATTAGTATCGGACATCAATGTCAGACCGAATGAGACATTGTTGGAATATGTGTCATGTCTTCAAGAGACTGGCGCAAGGTGGCCAGAGTTGGATAAGATCTATGAACACTTTTCCATAACATATGCCAAACATCCAATGGTTGTTGCTGACCTGATGATCGAGCAAAGCATTGGATCAACATACACTGGTAACAATGCCATGGCCAACGATCAGATGGACAACTCATTGGCATTGCACTTCTCACCTGCAAACCTGTATGTTAATCATGGTACCCTCTCTGGGTTACGATTGAATGATTGACTGACCAACAATCCTACGCACTCATCATAATAGATTCAAAGTTAGTTACCTCAAGTCTGCAATATACCGAATACAGAAGAACTACACTGCATCCAAGCTTCATCTGGACACATGTGATTTCTTGGCCAAGAAGATAGGCTTGTCTGATCTTCACAAGGCACAGTATCATTTCAACATGGCAGCACATGAATATGGTAAGACTTCAACCATTTAAACAATCAATCAATCAACTAACCTTGATTTCCACAGACTTCCTAATAGTGCAACGATCACAAAAGGGCAACAATTTCAATAATAGTACTCAACTGAGAGAGCAGATTGTTAGTAGGTTTAAACTGGCAGCAGATCATTATGCAAAGGATTCCAACGCTCGTAGTGTGAATGGCACATTTAGATCATACATCAGAATGACTCAGACCATATTGGCATCACTGTCCAATGCATTGGAGTCTGATCTGGATCGCGCCGAGTCATTCCTCAACAACATCATGCCCACCATCCAGATGCACGACTTTACCAGACGCACTCAAACACATCTAATGTTCACCAAGGTGGATCTGATGCTGGCTCGATCACACAGTGCCTTTGGACGCAATGACTACCTGTCATTCCATCATCTGGAGGAGTGCTTCAAGTTGGTCAGTCAGTCCGATCGCTTTGCAAGCGAGCTTGGATTCAAGAATGAGATGAAGTACATTCAAGATAGGTTCAACAAGCTAATGTCATTTCCAAGCGAGTCATTCGTTAAAGCTCTCACCGGAACTAATGTACTGCGTGCTCCATCACACCGAGCATCATCCCAAACATCATATCAGCCAAAGTTGATCCAATCACAACAAAATAGACAATCAAATCAAAATCAATCACAACAACAACAACAGCAACATCAATCACAAAATCAACCAACACAACAACAGCTTACCAGCCCACAATTCAACATACTTATTGGATCACTATTGTTGGAACATCAGATGAATAACATGATCAGTAACAACATACCAATACCAACAATTGTGAACAACGACACCAACAACAACACAATGATGACAAGCAATACTAGAGTTGCCACTTCAACGCTGGTCAGCCCTGATGTCATCAAGAACCTTCTAAACCAACGTCAACTACTCATCAGCAGTACCAATCAATCACCACCTGTAAATACCTCAATCAATTCTGTACCAAACGTCCAATCACCTGACATCATGGCAAATCAACACTTGTATCCTCAAACAAACGTGGATACAGACAATTATGCCGAGCAACAATTATCTCAATCCATCACATCTACATCAGTATCATCATCTTCTTTATCCAACTCCTCACATCTGATGTTTGGATACACTTCCTAGGAAAATGCCAGAGATTATACCAATAATACAGGTATCGCCCTGAATAGACGTGGTTGGTTTACAACTAATTCGCTCTCAATCAATCATACCAATCATTTGGACTGGAGTTTGATTCCAAGACAACACTTCATCATCATTTGAATTCAATCGTTATACTTAATCTTTATTTGTTTGTTTGTTTGCACGACGTGGAACATTGGTCGTCTCAGTGCATGTTGGTTTGTTGTTGGTTGGGCGAAGGAAAACGATTGGAGGGAAGAAGATTAATTCTTGATGAATGCTAAATTTTGATTGAATAAACATTGTGGTTAGTTATTTAGATATATCAATGCTAAACAGTAGACTATACATACCAGCATTATGTCTGGCTTGATCTGTGGTTATCACACTGCAGTACTTGCCCTCACTGTCAAAGGAGTTGTCATTCTGTACCTTGCCAAGAGGGGTGAAGCCAGGAACTGTAATGTAGAAACAGATATTCTTGTTTGCTGGAATCCAGAAGTATATCATGCTGTTCTGAGTGGTGTCAAATGGCCAAACCTTGGGACCGCCAGGGGTATAGCTAAAGTCCGCATGGTAGGCAGTGATGTCTGCAACCTTCTCAGACATCAATCCGTTCTTTGACGTGCTGTCGTCGAAAGCATTAAGGAATGACTTGAACACTTTGTTCATACCAAGATGAGCATCAGTGAACGAAGTGGTTACTAATGTAGGGGGGCAGTACTTGGATGTGTAGACTCCAAACTTGTTGTCTCCAGTGTTGTAGGTTGGAACGTTGTTTGTAGGACCATCTGACTAAGTAATGGAGTGATCACCTTGAGCCAGACCAAGGAATTGATAATATCCAGTGACCCTAGTGAGTTCCTTTACTAGGGTACCATTTGCCTTTCTGAGTGTCATCTTGAGTGGACCGAAGGGCTTGGTCTTGTCCAGCTTGCCATCGAATGCAGTCGTGTCATCCCAAACCAATCCACTGATCTTCATTCCCTTTACCATTGCTAGAATGATTGATTGATTGATGATTTGAGAATAGAGTCAGAAGTTTGAAATCGGCTAGATCTACTCTGTGCTATACGTACCAGCACGATGATAGGTGCTATCCTTGTCAATGGTCAGGCATTCCTTGCCAGTACTGTCAAAGGTGTTGTCATTCTGAACCTTGCAAAGTGGTTCATAACCGGTGGATGTGATGTAGTAGCAGACCGCCTTGTTGGCTGGAATGTAGAAGTACATCAAATCTGACAGTAATTCGAAGGTATAAACTTTGGGACCACCATCGGTATAGCTGAAAGATGCGTTGCAGTGGAGAGTTTGGAGGCTGTAGGCAAGGAGACCATTCTGGACTTTGCTGTCATCGAATGCAGAGAGATATGCCTTGAAGACCTTATTCATGCCGAGATGAGCATCATTAATATTATCATTGGCAGCCACTGTCAGACAAAACTTGTATGTGTAGACTGCGAACTTGTTGTCACCAGCGTTGTAGGTGGGGGCATAGTCTGTAGCAGCGGGGGACTCGGTGATACAGTAGTCACCAGCATCCAGACCTCGGAATTGATAATCACCAGTGGCTGCTGCAATTTCCTTCACCTTTGAGCCGTCCGACTTCTTACTGAGAGTCATCTTGACTGGACCGTATGGCTTGGTCTTGTCAAGCTTGCCATTGAATGCAGTCGTGTCATTTCAAATGAATCCGCTGATCTTCGTTGCCTTGACAATTGCTAAGAATTATTGATTGATTGATCAATTGATCGATTTATTGATTGATTGATTGTTTGATTGAATTAGTGGTTGTCATTTGTTCACAGACTAAATTACATACCAGCACGATAATAGTTGCCATCCTTGTCAATCGTCTGGCAGGACTTGCCAGTACTGTCGAAGGCGTTGTCATTTTGCACCTTGCCAAGTGGTACGTATCCGGTAGAGGTGATGTAGAAGCAGACGGTCTTGTTGACTGGAACGTAGAAGTACATTAAATCAGCAAGTCATTGATAGGTGTACACCTTGGGACCGCCAGCGATATAGCTGAAGGACGCGTTGAAGTGTAGGTGTGTGGCAGCTCTGGTCTGGTGCCCTCCAACAATCATTCCAATCGCTGCGCGATTTTCATTCTTCATCCTTTACTCTACTATTAGTATTATTTATTAAATTGTTAATATTAATTTTAATAATTATTTTTATTAAGGGTTGGGTATTAAAAAAAAAGAGAGAGAGAGGGAGGGAGGCTGTGGTGAAGATATTTTTAAAATAATAAAATAATAATATTAAAATACTCTTCACCAATCCTTCCCTTCCTCCCTGGAACAAAAATGAAGGGAGAGGTATTAAACATCTGGAAAAAATATTAATATTAAAAAAGTCTTCACCAGTCCTTCCCTTCCTCCCTGGTTATAATTGTTAAGGGGAGAGTATTGATAATGATGGTAGTAGGGATGGAGGGAGTGTGTGGTGAAGATTGTATAAATATTTATACAGATACATCAGATGATGGCACCTTATAAACTGTAACAAGGATAAAAAAAATATAATATGCAGTATAGATATAAATGATTGACGAACTTATCGATTTCCTGAACCAGATTGATTCTATCAATAAACAAAGAGAGGAACTTGAAATCCAAATGAAGGAGAAAATAGAGGAAGTTGATTGTTGTCAAGGGACTTTGTCTAGTTTTGAGGAACAACGAAATAGATTTATCCACAGTAGTGACCGAGAGGAGAGACAACATTTGCCAATATTACATCATTGTATTATAGAATTTGGTAGTTCTTAAATAGTTGATTACTTTCCCATTTGATGCTATCATACTACCAAATTCTATAATACATCATTATAACGTCCGTCGTTAACTATCTCTTACGTATTTCTTTCTACCATACCACCAGTCACCTTTTTTGCTTTCTTTGTGCAACAATATGATGTGTGGCTCTCAGCTCTGCAATCTGGATAACCCTCAACAAACCTTCGAATTTTATGATGGTCCTCCTTCACCTATCTATGGTCGTGGTGATAGCGTCATCGGCATCGGTTTTGCATACGCTAACTATACAGGAGGATTCACTTCTCTGAATGTCAGAGTTGAATGCGTTACGACTGCTCTATCATTCCCCCCTCTACTAACATGTGATGGCAGCAGTTTTT